TGGCAGTGTGAAGCCATTCCCCCTTGTCCTGTCCCTCCAGTCCCTTGTCCCAAGTCCCTCTCCAGCTCTCTTGGAGCCCCTTTAGGCACCAAAAGGGGCTCTCGGGTCTTCCTGGTGCCTTCTCTTTTCCAGGCTGAACACCCCCAGCTCTCCCAGCCTGGCTCCAGAGCAGAGGGGCTCCGGCCCTCCGAACATCTCTGTGGCTTCCTCTGGACTTGTTCCATCAGCTCCACATCTTCCTTGTCTTGGTGCCCCCAGAGTTGAAGGCAGCACTGCAGGTGGGGTCTCACCTGAGCAGGACAGAGGGGCAGAATCACCTCCTTACTTGCTCCCCGCACTGTTGGATGAGCCCAAGACACGGGGGGTTTCTGAGATGCCAGTGCATGGGGCTGGGATATGTTAAGCTTCTCATCCATCCACACTCTCAAGTCCATCTCAGCAGGGCTGTTTGAGGGTGTCATGGTGAGGAGGAAGGAACCCCCTGAGCCCTAGAGGCAGATGGGGCTGAGTCGGGGCTGTGCAGTTAAATTAACGGTTTTACCAAACTGGGTCATTTGACTTCCACCCTGCCAGACAAGTGAGGATCTAGTATGTGTGCCTTGTGCCACTGGCCACAGCACAGAAAGGAAGGGAAGGCCAGGCCACCTCTGTGGGCTGGCCTCACTGATTGCCAGCACTGCTTGCAGGAGCCCAGGTCTGGTGTGTTTGGGACCCTGCCACTGTGCCCAAGTCACCTGCCCATGAAGTCTGATGGCCCCAGGCCACCTCAGCCCTGCAGGCAGCCTGAATTTCCACCAGAAGGGGTACACGCAGAGCTTCTGTTTTCCCTTTGGTTTGTTTTTATGATCCAGTTTAGTTTGGAGAGGCTACCAGCTCTCTGTTTAATTTCCTGGAGGATGGCAATTAGGAGCAAGACTTTATGGTGCTGAGTCTAGGTGTTGCTGCATGTCCCCACAGATGTAGCCTTGTCCCCAGCAGCATCCCTGTGCCCCTGCATGGCATTTCCCACTGGAGCTGGTGTCATGGGCACAGGCTTTGTGGGATCATGGGTCACTGAGAGGATGCAGCTCTGAAAGGCCCTCATTTGCAGTGAGCTGCTCGTGGTGTTGAGCAGAATGGGAGCAGATGAGACATCCTGACCTGCTGCACAGCATGGCTGGTACAGCCCGTGGCTGTGGGGTCGTGGCCACCCCTGAGCTGAGTACTCTGTGCTCTGGCCATGTGTGTCTGAGCTCCCAGCAGCTCCCACCTGCATTGTGTCCCCCAAAGATGAACAGCTGAAGTGATGTCTCCTCCTTCCCCCTCCCCCCTTTTCTGTGATAAAAAGTGATGGTTAAAAGAACCAGACAACTCAAAACTTGTCTAGGGAACACCTGAGATATTTTTTAATAGTTAAAAAAATAATGCCACTGTTATTGTCTCTGAGATGATAAAACAGCCTGGTCAGATTTGCTTTCAGATCTTAAACACCAATATTTAGCAACCACGTTTTCCAGGCAGCCCTAGAGATGATGGTATAAATCAAGCACAGACACTTTTACATTCTGTAGTGTTTTATTAATGAAATCTAAGCCTTGGCCATGGGCTATGGTGTAGCCCCATTTCATCAGAGGGTTTGATGAACCATTCTGGTTATCTGACTGCTTTGCAGAATTGAAAAGTTTGAGTTTTCTTCTCTTGCTGAGTGCTCTTGTAATGGGGCTGATGTGCCTGTTCAGCAAGAGAATTCTGTCTGCTCTTGCAAGACAAGTCTGTTCCTCCTGCAAAATCTATTTTTGTTCTTTACTTTCTGTGCAGAATAGGACTGACTGCAGCATTGGTGAGTATCTCAGCAGCCAACACATCTTCCCTTTTCTGCTTGGTTAACTGTATTTCAAATGCTGCAGAAAATAAGGTGGGGTTTTTTTGAGTGGATATATCTTTCCATTTACTCCAGGACTATGCAGTAAGATAAGTCAGTTCTTACGAACTTTTGTTGTGAATATTGGTGGTTTTACATTTGGGAAGTCACAGCAGACCTGCTTACTCAAATTTTTGGGGATATTTGTTTTCATGGTGACCTGAGAGGACAACTTGGAAAAACTCTCTGGGTTGTAGGGTTGCACCATAAATACTGGGAAGGAGTCCCCTTGCTGGGTTGTGTGCCACAGTCAGGTCTTTCCTGGAGTATGGCCCAGTCAGCCTGATGGATTGTGGCAAGAGAAACAGAGCGACACTGTTGATGTTATCAGTAATATTGCTTTGGGCTTGGGTTCATCCTGCTGAGGTTGAGGTTTTAGTCCCCACAGTGAGAGGCCCCTCTGGGAGATGGATGTGAGATGTCAAATCCCCCTTGGGCAGATCCCATCCTCTTGTCACTGTATGGAAAACTGAGAACTGCCATCTCCCCTGGGACATCCACATTTCAGCGAGATGACGCCAGCTGTGGCACCCGCCAGCCATGGCTGAGCATCGCAGCCACTTGATGCTGCAGGACTAAGTGGGGACCTCACCAACTTTCCCAATACAGTGTTCACTCTAGAGTGTCACATGAGTCATGCCTTTGGTCATGGTCTTTGCTCTGCAGAAACCTCTAATTTGAGATCCATGGGATGTGGTCCATTGTATCAGAACCCAAGTGTGCTTGTTGGTGTGAGCCTGGCAGTGCTGGGAAGAGATGGAGAGCCTGACTTGCTCTAGTGTTGGGTGAATCTCAATTGCACCCCAAAGTAGCTCCCTGTGCTGCAGCAACGGAGACCAGAAAATGCTGAGTTCAGACCCCAATCAGCTTTGGTTTAAATCAATGTGAAATATTTAAGCTCAAGCAATTTCAGTTCTAGATTATTTTTAATAATTAAATAAATTAAAAATGTTTTAATTGCCCATCTCATAGAATCACAGAATGGTTTGGGTTGGAAGGCACCTTAAAGATCATCTTGTTCTAATTGTCCTGCCATGGGCATGGATGCCACCCCCTAGATCAGGTTTCTCAGGGCCCTGTTCAACCTGGCTTCAAACACTTCCAGGGATGGGGCAGAACCGTTTGGAAGTGTCCCACAGGGCAACTTTTTTAGATTTTTTTTTAGTTATTTTTTCCCTCCATAAATTCTCTCTGCACTGGGTCCCTCTGGGATACAGCCACCGCCCAAGCGAGGGCATGGGGAAGCTTGGAGCCATGCTCCCATGTCCCTCCACTTGGCTCCTTCCCTTCCCCCATGATGGTGCCCTGCACTGGCAAACAACCTGCTGAGCATGCAGGAAAACCGTGTGCTGGGACTGGAGCAAGTACTTGTGGTGTCACTAATACCCAAGACCCTCTGCTCTGTGCTTTGGGTCTCTTGCATGGGCAGTTCAGTGGAGGCACAAAGGAGCCATTAATTGCTTGTGGTTTGTTGCATGAAATGCTGGTTGGTTTATTTGCATTGCCATGCAGCTTACCCAGATCCTCTGTGTCTCTTACATTATAAGTTTAAACATGTTCAAGCTTGCCCTGCTATCCAAGGACCTCCTGAAACTGAAATCCCAAGACTTCCACCATCAGCACAGGTTTCCCCCTAGAGAGCTGTCCTAATACCACTTGGAGGGGGAGGGTGGAATGCAGATCTCCAGAGGTGCCTTCCAGCCCTCAGTCCTGTGGCCCTGTGATGCCAGAGGCTGCTCTGCAGCAGAGCCATGGCCGGGCTGTGGAACCAGGTCCCTTCAGTGTGGTTGGGCATCACCAGCCTTTTGGGAGAGGGTGTGTTTAGGCAGAAACATTGTGTTACTGCTGTGGTGGGACTGAAACTTGTAAGCATGAGTGGGAGGCGAGAATAGTGTTACTGCAATGTCATGGACAACTCAAGTTTGGTTTTATTGCCGAAAGCTGCATTTCTGAACAGAATTAAAACCAAGCCATGCTGTTACAGCAGCAATTGGTATTTTTCTTCTATTGCTCATTTAAACAGCCAGTTACTTAAAGATTAGCATAAAACCAGTCCTGTTTTTCTTCAATCTCTTTGGTCCCTGTGTCTTTTCAGTCTAAATCAAGAATGTTTTGGCCCCAGCTGTGGTTAATGTGGGGTGTTTGCTGGATGCAGGGGTGAAGCATGGGCTGTCCTGGGCTGCAGGAGCAGTGGCAGCTCAGCGGTGTGCAGTTGCAGAAGGCCCTGATAGCTACTGCAGCAGAGCTGTGGCTTCTGACCTGGGCAGGCCTAGCGCTCCTTGCATTCCCAGAGGAACGCAAAGTGTTCCCTAAGGAAAAACGTTTCTCACGGATGCCAGTCATTACTGTGATACCGGCTTGGGAGAAGGCAGGGAACAAAGTCTAAGAGTGAGAACAAAGTCTAAGAGTGAGCTGAATGTTACTTATGTGCTCTGCTTCTTCCCCAGGTTCTGGACCGACTTGGTTTGTCACGAGCAAAGATACTGGTTTTAATTAGATTATGGGAGTTGCGGCTCCTGCAGGCTTGGCTGTGTTATTAGTCCTGACTGCAGCCACGTTAGCTTCTATTTTAGCTGGAGCACAGGTACAGATAGTTGATTAAGGCAGATTCCAGAAATGCCCATGCTTTACTGAAGATGATGAGACTTGGCTTCTTTGGGATGTAGAAATGTTGGTGATAAGGGACCTCTGGAGGTCTCTAGCCCAACCCCCATCTGGAACAGGACCGTATGCCAGGCCAGCTACAGCTTTGCCAAAGTAAGCCTTGAAAACTTTAAGGAACAGCCCCCACCTCTCTGGATATCTTTTCCAGTGCTGCACCACCTCCCTAGTAAAGACTTTGTATCCTAATGTACAGTTTGAATCTCCTAAGCTGCAGCTCATGGCTGTTGCCTGTTGTTGCAACATCTGCTGCTTCAGGTGAGGAAACTGCTGCATCCAGGAGATGAAATGTATTTTCTCCTGTGTGTGTAGTGTCATATTTCTCTCTGAGCTGACAACATTGAACTGGCAGCTTCTAGCTGTTGCCTGAGCTCTGCAGAAAGGCTCAGGAGAAGAGCATGGGGTGTTGGTTGCTTTGGAGGTTCTTACATTCCCTTGGGCTTCTTTCTTCTGCTCAGGCTTGTATCAGATCTCGCAGAACAAGGTGGCAGTGCTGCTCCTGGCTGGAGGGCAAGGAACCCGCCTGGGAGTGAGCTATCCCAAGGGCATGTACAACGTGGGGTTGCCCAGTGGCAAGAACTTGTATCAGATCCAGGCAGAAAGAATCCGCAAAGTGGAGCAGCTTGCTGGCCAGAGACATCACTGCAAGTGTGCCGTTCCCTGGTAGGTGACCCAGAGCCAGACCTCCTGTGCAGTGCTCTCTGCGTTCCAGTCTTGCTTTGTTGTCTTCTAGAAGCACTGAGCTGGGTGCTGCACAGAGACAGGCCAGGGGAGGGGATTTTGTCGACAGGATTTGCAATGCCAGTGGCTGGAGGAAGGCGCACAGGGATGGGAGGTGGCAGGTCTGTGTCTGCAGACCTGAGGGATCAAGTGCTGCCCTTGCATCACTGACCATGACTCTGACTGCTGTACCTTGCTGGCTTTCCAAGCACAGGCCCCGGCAACACTATAAACAGCACTTTTCAGTGATTGTTTTGAATGCTTCACAAGAAATTTCATCCATTTCTGCTTTCTCAGATTCCTTCATGGAGGACCTAGACCTCACTTTCCAAGCCTCTCTGCCCATAATCTCTGCCACAGCAAAAAACCTCTTGCTTTGTGTTCAGGCCGCCTCCTGCTGTCACTGTTCACAGTTGCTAATTCTGCTGGCTGCTCCTGGCTTTCAAAAGAGACTAGCTCTGGGCAGAGTGCAAAATGTGAATTCCCTGTGGGATGTGGTGGGTGAGAAGAAGGCACTAGGATGTTTCTGGGAATGTTTTCTGCTAAGTGTTCTTTGTTAGACTATTAAGACTGTGAAGAGAGAGCCTTATGGAATCGGTGTCTGGTCTGAGGCAGGGTTTGGGCAGAGCAGGAGGGCTTCAGGGTACCACACTGTTTTACCAATTGGAGATCGAAGTTGATTCATATATTGTTTCTTCATGGAAGGTGAGTCCATACTGTGCTTCTTCCCGAAGCCTTGCATGCAGGACCTGAATTGCAAATGCACCATCCCCGGTGCTGCTGGAAGCCAGGATGGATTATTTGCAAGATGCTACATCTACTGATAATGTTTCCAGTTCCTATCCCAGGGCTGAGGAGGCAGTTGAGGCAGTTCACTGCTGCAGTACCCCTGAGCCCAGGCTGTGCTGTGCTGCAGAGATGTAAACTGGGGGGCCATGAGGTCCAGGCTCTCCTGTACGAGGGATTGATTCCCCTGTCATGCTGGCAGAAGACCCTGTATTCCTGTGCCAGTGGTTGTTGAAGAGTTTGACAGGTAGATGATGAAGATGGCTTTTAGCCACTGGTGAAGGAGGATAGTGGAGGGAGAGACAGGAGCTGAAAGGAGAGGAGGAAATAGAAAAACTTAAGAGAAAAACAGACCATGTAGCTACATATGGAAGTGCTGCTGTTTGCTTTGGCACTGAAGAGGTGCTGGCAGACTCAGCTGGTCAGTGTTTCTTTAGGCACCTAACATCAGTTTGAATCTAGGGTGAACGAGGCTGTTGTCTGCCCTTTGCTTTGTTTTCCAGCGCATCCAGATATCCAGATGTTGCTCACATTTAGGGTGAGGCTCTTCTGTCCTGGCTGGAGCTAAGCCTGTGGGTAGGATCATGCACAGGACCCAGTGCAGCCTTCCTTCGGGATGAGTTCTGAAGGAGAGCTCTTGTGCACAGATGCTCACCACAGGATACTGCAGTGTCTCATTTCACACTCATGGGGTTCCTCCTTTTTGTGTGCCATTTGTTGTTTTGTCTTTTGCTTGTGCTGTTCTTGCTCATTTCCCAGCTCCCATTCCTGCCTAGGTACATCATGACAAGTGAGTTCACATTGGGGCCAACAGAAGAGTTTTTTGTACAACACAACTACTTCAACTTGGATAGATCCAACGTGATCATGTTTGAACAGAGAATGCTGCCTGCTGTCACCTTTGATGGGAAGGCCATCTTGGAGGAGAAGGGGAAAATTGCTATGGCTCCAGGTACCCGTTGTTTGCTCTTGAATGCTGCAGTACTGTCATGTGTATTGATAGTTGCTACTGGCCATCAGCCAACCGGGGCACAAGGAGCAGGCTTTGGGGCTTAGGGTTAATGCTTCCAGTTAGTGTGGGAAGATTCTGTTAAATGTTTCAGGCTGGTAATCAGGAGGGTAGCTATCATTGTTTAGTTCTTGCTGGAGATTTTGCCTACAGCACGTTTTTTATCAGTCTAGGAGTATTGGCAGGATTAGAGTGGTGGGGCTGCAGGTTAGGAAAAAGGGGCATCAGCAGAGGTGTGTGAGGTCCCTGGGGTGCTGCCTCCTGGGGTGAAGATGTCAGGAGCTGGGCTCCTGCTCAAGGCTGATAGCTGGAAATGGGTAAAAAAGCAGCAAGAAGATTAACTCTTTCCAAAATGAGAGCAAGGTCTCATGTTGTAAAGTTCTCCTCTTAACCTGGAGATGGTAAGAGACTCGGTAAAGGCAGCCTGGTTGGGATGGTGTTGCAGGGAGGGGGTGTTGCAGCTGCAGAGTGGTTTTCCTGAGCTGACAGCAGTATCCAAGGAGGAACTGTGAATGGGTGATCTGTGATGAACAAACGTGCAGGTGTCTTTTGTGCAGCTGCAGTTCAAGCCTTTAAAAAAGCATTGGGAAGTCGTGGGGAGAAGATAAACAGAGAATAAGATCTATTTTAGCCTTTCTCCAAGATGAGTTTTAAATGCACTTTTGCCCTGCACTGCGGGAGAAATTTAGCAGACTTTTCCCACCCTCTGCATAACGTTTTGCCCTTTAGTGCTCTCCCTCTGAGGATCTTACTAGCCTTCATAGAGTCTCATAATGGTGCTCAGTGAGGCTGGCCCCCATGGTCCCACTCTGCAGGTGAGATGAGCTGGGGTGAGGAGAGGAAGATGCTCACCTGAGCTGCATTGCAGAGCTGGAAATAAAATCTGGTAGCACTGACTCTTGGCTAGAAAGCATTCCCTGCTCTGCTGTTCAAGAAAGTCTGTTCAGGACTTTCTGCTTTTGCTCTGTTAGCTGCAAAAAAACCCCAGTCCAAAGTCACTAATGAGCCATGGCATTCTCTTTTCTCTTGCATTATAGATGGCAATGGTGGCTTATACCGTGCTTTGGTGGATAATAAGATCTTGGATGACATGAAGCAGCGTGGAATCCAGTATGTCCACGTATATTGTGTGGACAATATCCTCGTGAAAATGGCAGATCCAGTCTTCATAGGTTTCTGTGTTTCCAAAGGGGCAGACTGCGGTGCAAAGGTGAAGCAGTGCTAACACTGGGCTGGTTTCCCACAGGGAGTTAGGGTCTCATTATGCTTGGAAGCTGCTGGCTGGGGGGAGCTTATGTGACCTAGGATGTTCAGCCCTATGCCCATCAGGGGCTTATTCTGAGCAGATTTAAAGCTGTTTGCTGCCAGCATTGCATTCCAAATCCCTACCTGTGGGTGTCCTCTTCTTCCCACAGTACTACTGTGGAAAATAAACTTCAATTAGAGCAGGGACTGTAGCTGTACAGGAAACTGGAATCGCTTCCCCTCCATGCTCAGCCCTTTCTACAAAGGCACTTGGACAGTCTAGAAGCCGTGTTGGACCGGGTTGTGTTTTATAAGCACACCTTTAAGCCTAATGGAGACATTTCTAATGCTCTGCTGTGGAAGATGGGGAAAGCCAAACCAGCCTGGATTTTTTCATTCTAAAGCAGCAGGTGCCTGAGGAGAAGTTTATGTTACTTGAGTCATTAGCACTGTTCATGCAAACAGGGAGAGGACCCCTGGTAGTCTAGTGGTTAGGATGCAGCACTCTCACCGCTGCGGCCCAGGTTCGATTCCCGGTCAGGGAACCCCTCCGGGCAGATGGAGCTCGTCAGCCCTGTAAGGCCATCCATCTCAGAGAAGGTCACTCTAAACAAACCTATGTCCTGAGGACCTCAATGCCACCGTCTGAGCTCGCTCGGCCCTGGCTGATGAACCTCAGGATTAAAGGGTGGGCTCAGTTCAGCGCACACTGTCTCACCTAAAAAACCCACTGCGCAGGCTCGAAGGGTAATGACCTTTCCCAAATCTTCGTTCGCGAAGGCTGGCCATGATGCAAACAGGGAGCTGAAGGCTAATAGCTGCAAACAGCTTTCATTTGATGCCAGGTCCCAGTCCTTGATAAGAAAAGTGCCCCCCAGTAGGCCGATTGCTTTTAACGGGTTTGTCTTCTGAGAAACAGTGCAATTAAGTGGGTGAGTACTGGGGTTTATGCTCAGTTGTTGGGCAAAGTGTGCCTCCAGACTGCTGTGTGCCCCATGAACTGCCCTGCCCTTGCTCCTGAGGTGCTGGAGGGTCAGCAGGCAACAGTCCTGCAGGATCGTTTGTAGGAGTTGGAACAGTGCTGGGATTTTCTTCCTCCTTGTCATAGTCCTTGTCCTGTGGCTGCAGGTGGTGGAGAAGGCCTACCCCACGGAGCCCGTTGGGGTGGTGTGCTGTGTGGATGGGGTGTACCAGGTGGTGGAGTACAGTGAGATTAGCCCGGAGACTGTGCAGCAGCAGCGCCCTGAGGGGGGACTGATGTTCAGCGCTGGCAACATCTGCAACCACTTCTTCACTGTTGATTTCCTGGAAATAGTGGCCCAGTAAGTCCCAGCAGACTTGCTAGACAGCTGTGCTGCCCAGAAATGACTCCAAGATTGAAATTACAGAGTGGGAAACAGGAACACCCAGTTATGAGTACCTCCTGTTCCTTTCAACTTTTCTCTATTCCAAACGTTTCCAAAGAGCTATGTCCTCTCTCTGACAGCCCCAGTATGTTCTTCAGGCCCTACCCAAGGGGTACCCTTCCTGGGCCTGCAGGGGTGAGCAGCTGTACGGGCTGCAGTGTGGTCAGTGATGCAGCCCCACACCAAGGATTTCCAATGGGAAATGTCACCCATGCCCATCCCTTGGGACAACAGAGTTGGCGAGAGAGGGTGAAGTTGCGGGTGGACTCTGCAACACCTTGGTGTTGCAGAATGGAGATGTGATGCTGGGCATTTAGTGAGCAGCAGTATGACCCTTCTGATCCATCCCTGGGTGAGGGATCTGCTCTGCTCCGTTGTCATCCCAATCAGATAATTTGGGTTGCCTTTTTTTTTTTAACCTCTGCCTGCAATTTCAGCTTGAAGCCAAGTACTCCCTCTTCTCTGACTGTCATGTCCCACTGGTACAGGGAGAGCCACTGGCCAGGCTGCTCTGCTCAGTGAAGTGTTTCCTGGATGTGACTTGCATCGCTGGGGAGAGAGCAACACCCACAACAGCTGAGAGATGACTCAGAGCAGTAATAAGACATCTGCTTCCCACAAGTGTATTGCTTTTTTTTTCTAAGTGGGCATGAAGTAAATGAACTTGTTTCTTCTGCTTTTGCAGGAAATGTGAGCCGCAGCTGAAGCATCACGTAGCCATAAAGAAGGTGCCCTACATTGACAAGGAGGGAAATCTGGTAAAACCACTAAAACCGAACGGGATAAAGCTGGAGAAGTTTGTGTTTGATGTGTTCCAGTTCTCTAAGTTAGTGGCAGACATTGTTTTACTTTTCCCCTTCTCAATGTTTGTTTGAATGACTGTAGGTTGTAACAGGCTGTCTGAGGGGGCATGTGGTTTTTGTGGGTGGCTTGTTAGGAAGGCTGTTGAATCTACGCCCAGTTCCAACCCAACAGTAACGGCACAGTTCCAAGGGGAGCTCATGGGGTGCTCAGAACATACACTGACCCTGCTCCCAGATTGATCATCTTGCCAAGGATGTGTTGGCTGGTCTGGCCTCTGCCAGCCTGGGAAAAATAAAAGGAAATCAAGTGCAAAGCACATGAAGCCCACGTTGCAGTGTTCAGACTTGCAAAAATTGGGTCTTTCAGGATTGTGGCTTCCATGGCAACTGCAGCTCTGGTTACGTTTTTGGGTGCTGTCATGCCAGGGCTCAGTGTGCACCCTTTGTGCTTGGAAAACAGTTTGCTTAAGCACGGTGGGGCCAAGTTACAGTTGCTGTGGGAACTGTCAATGTTGACTTGCCAAGCTCTACAACATAGCTGAGAGTGCTCTGCCATATGCAGTTAGGGGTACTTGTGCCTAGGGAATTGGGATTTTAATAATGTAGAAATTTAGCATGTGTTCTTATAAAACCTATTTTCCAAGGTCTTAAATTCAGCAGTGAAGATTCTGTTTTAGGCTTAAATAAATGGCAAAGAGAGACCTCAGACAAACTGAATTATCTTTGTTTGGGGATAGTATTTCCTTTTTCAGAGGATTTCCTTTAGGATTGAGGGCTCAAAGTTTGAACCAGTCTCTATTTCCTGACATGCGTTCTGTAAAGTATTATCAAACCAAAGGCAAAAAGCAGAGTGATATAAACAGCGCTGAATTCTGAGCTGTGTCAGGACTTATTTGCATGCAGCGATTCCTTATGCTTTTTTAACACCTCAAAACCAGCTTGGCAGCTGTGCTTCACACATGAAGTGGAGAAATGCACAGATACTGCTGTGGGGCTTTTTAAATTTGCATTCCCATTTCTGGTAAACAGCTGTACTTAACATTCACCTGTGAGGCCTCCCATACTGCTTTTTCCCTGGGAACTGGTGTCCTTAGTTGGTCCTGACCTACAGACACCCAAGCGGAGTGGGCATTTTTTGGGCAAGGTGGGATGCTCTGCAGTGAGTGCACAGCTCGCACTGTGTCCAAGCTCTGGGCAGCTTTGTGCTCTCCATCCTTCTGTGCTCTGAGTTATTTTGTCTGGGAGCCTCCCAATGTCTGGAGGAGTTTCTGTGGAATCTCTGCAGAACTGTTGCTTTTCTTCTCACCTGAGTGCAGCCTCCAGAGAGTCAGGAGGTTACTGTTATGTTCCCAAAGAGACAAGGCTTTGTGTGTTTTTCCATCCTACAGGCCTGGTACTCCTTGGCTCTTCAGGTGGGGGGTGGGCTTCCCTTGGCTTGACTGCCCCAGGCTGCATACATCACTGCTCCTTAAAATATGTATGAGCCTTTCCCCATGAACGTTGTTGTTGCATTAGCAGCGCTGATGACTAGCTCTGGTTTTCATGATCATTGTTTTCTCCCCTTTGCTTGTAGGAATTTTGTGGCATTTGAAGTTTTGAGAGAAGAAGAGTTCTCGCCACTAAAAAATGCAGACACGGCTGACAAAGACACTCCTACCACTGCTCGGCAAGCCCTTCTGGCCCAGCATTACCGCTGGGCTCTCAAGGCTGGGGCCAGATTTGTGGATGAAAATGGTTGCAGGATACCAGAGAAACTCAGGTACGAACCTCAGTGACCTCCTATGCAGCTTCTCTGATGGGACTGCCCAGCCAGGCTAGGCTCTCCAAAACCAGGTTTTCGTGTAGTCACAGGGTGGCTCAGAATGATTTTCATTCAGCTAGTGCTCTCTTGATGTGCAGGTTGGTGTCTATTACAGCTCCTGCTCCTCTAGTGACTGTGGGTGCTCCAGGCAGTCAGCACAAGGGGGCTCTGGGGGTTATCTCTGCAGATCTCTGCCCTTGGGGTCATGAGCTGACCCCTCCTATAGCACCACTAAACAGGGGCAGTCTTTTCTGTCACTCTGGGTTTAGCCAGCCCGAGGAATTTTAATTTGTAGGCCCTGTGAGTTTTTCTGAATGTGGACCCAACGGGATTCTCAGGTGGGCTTATGGATTGACTATTACAGTGATTACCAATTCAGATACCAATTCCTGTGTCATGTGGATTGGGAAGCTGCTTTTACTTCATGGGGCCATTACTTCATCAACTCATGCTGTTAATTTTACTTGAAAAGCACCTCTATAAAAGTGATGCCCTGGTTTTGATGAGTAACATTTGGGACCTGCTAATTCCCTTTTATTTTCACACTTTGTGTTCAAATAGTATCTGGTGCATGTGACTATAACAAATGTCTTATCCTGCTGGATATCCTATTCTAGACAATCTTTTGAAGAAGATGGACTGTTTTTTAAGCACAGCAGGAAGTTAATCCTGTGTTCTCTTCTCTAGTCTCTCAGGAAGTGAAGATCCTCCAGCTGTGTGTGAGATTTCTCCATTAGTGTCTTACTTTGGAGAGGTGAGAATAACTATCTGTGGAGCTATTTTTAAGAGTGTGCAGGTATACATCTGATTTCCTTCTGAACACAGGTGACTTCTTTAGCCTGGGCTTGTTGAGAAATGGTCAGATCAAGGGAACTGGGAATTTGGCTCTGTGTCACATTTCTGGTTCCACTATGGTTTACTCTTCAGCAGTTTGTTCACTCTCAGTTTTAGCCATCTGTAAAATGAGATTTGCAACGAGGCTGCAGTTTCATTAAGACTCACAAGCACTTTGAAATCTTCTGAATGAAAAGTGCAGAATATTAAAATTACAAAATCTATGGGTTCTGTGCTCATTTGTGCCCATCTCCCACAGGGAGTGAGTACTGACTGTGAAGTGAGATATGTGCATTGGCTTTAGGGAAAAATTTCTCAAGTTTGTCCCTCTGAAAATAATTGATCCTGAGAAACCTGTAGTAGTGAGAAGAGGATCTTCCCTGTGTTGGACAGACGGAGTGAAACAGTGGACTGCAGGAGGATTATGTCATCACTGTGGGGAAGGGTGTTCGTGAAACTTTACACTTTTGCTAGGTTTCCAAATGTATTAACTTGCAACAGCGACCTGCACCAAGTGTATTCCTCAACATGTGCACGTAGCAACCTTGTTGCAATTGATACCTTCTGAGAACAAAATGAATACAAGGCAATTTAAGATGACTTCCCTTTGCTAGGATTATTCTAATTTTAGCTAAGAACACCTTTCCATGCCTGCCCCTCCCAAGGAAGCTAGTTTCTGAGATCGTGTTTTACGGTTTGTTGGTGCCATTCCTTCATGAACCCCAGGCTTGGGGCTGAAACCCTTTCCATCACTGGAGAAACTGTCGCTGTTGTTTGTCCTTCCCATGACCTTTCTCAGTCATTCTTTGAAGACTTAAAAATAGGTGACCAGTCTGATGCATTTACAGCCTAACAATACTGTTCTCACACGTTCTCAGGGTCTGGAGGTGTACATGAAGAACAAAGACTTCCCTTCTCCCTTTGTACTCGATGAAACCAAGGTGGAAATGCTTGAAAATTCTTGAAGAGGGAAGCCTTTCCCCCTCATCAGATATCCGTTTTTCAGAGCCATTATGAGAACTGACATTACTAAAATGTCAGCTATGAAGTGCATTATAAAAAAAAAAATCGCTTTGCAGTGTCTGATTGATGCCAAATCCTTGCAGCAGTTGTGTTTACACACATATTCATGCTTCCCAGTTCTGTTTGGTAACTTTGAAAGCTGGGCCTCTTACCTCAGTTTTGTAAACTTGGATGTGAGTGACGATTAACACCTTTCAGGTGTTAAACATATCTTATATTTCTTATTTGCTGGGCACATGAATATGGAAAAGAGCCAGCCAGGGCCTAATAAATCAGCTTTGCTTCCAAGAAGATTAAATCTCTTCAGTGCATTGTTAGGTTTTTTGTTTGTGCTGGTGTGGTTGGTTTTTTGTTTTGGTTTTGTTTCTAAATTATGTGCACAGCTGCAATCAGTTTGAGGCCCCATCCTGAAAAGTTAGGAAGGACTGTGGGTAGAGGCCTTTCTCTGCAGTGATACATCTTTTCCCTAATCCTGTGATGATCAGAAGATCCAATTCAGCAGCTGCATTCTCTAAGCAGATCATACAGAGTCTGCTGTATGTAGGGATGTTGCTGTGCCTAAGCATTGCTTGAGGTTTGGATTCCAAAACAGTCAGACTAGTTTTGTACCTGGGCTTGCTGATGTCTTGCTTGGACTGATTGCTTCCGACAGCTTGTAGTGACCTGGGTTTTTTTTAATTAAAAAAAAAAAAAAGTTGATGAGAATTTTTTTTCACAACCCTCTGCTCTTCCTAGCTATAACAAACATTTGTTTTCCTTTGCATTTCCTGTTTAATGTATACCATATCCTGAGACGGGGCTCTCTCAGTAGTAAAAGGAACAAATCCCGATGGTAGAATTTAATGCTTACCCACAAAAAAAAAAAGGCTTACTCTCAGCATCACCAGGGCACACAGTAAAACACCAGCCTTGCTTCTGCATTTTCTGCCCAGGGGGTTTTCCAGCACTCTTTCACTTAGGAAATAATTCCTTAGATGCCTTCCTTTTAAGTACATTACTAAACATCATGTAAAGATGAGTGTTAGCTAATGAAGGATGTTAATTGTCAGAACATATGTAGCATGTGAACTCAGTCCTGGCCAAGGGATCCCAGGATGGCCGTGATCCACCAGTGATTGTTCCTGTTCAGCCTTTGGACGCTGTCCCGGGAAGCTCATGCTCACCTGCTGCAGAACCTGCGCTGAGCAAACCTGAGTCATTTCAGCCTTGGTGAGGGTGGTGGCTGGTCTTTGCTTCAGGAGCACTCTATACGTTTCCACTAAACCTGGTGCTAGGAAAGGTAGTGAGGAAGATGTTTCATCTGCAATGTTATTTAGTGCATCAGCTTCTACTAAGGAATTGCTGATGATATTTCATTAAGCATAAATAACTTCCATGGCTTTCTGCAATTCCTGATGTGAAGCTCTATTCAGAATGTTGGGTAAGTATAAAAATGGCTTTGAGAATAAATACAGTTTGTAAGTAGGCTCAAGTTTTCCAAAGAAAGCATCTAAATGTTAATATCAGAGTTTTTGGTTATAAAGTGTTTCTGCGTGAACTTGAGTAACGAGCCTTTCACACATGCAGACCAGCTAATGACAGTTCTAATTACCTCAGCTGGCATGTGCAGCCAGTAATTCTCATTTAGTATAAATGAAGCATTTGTCATGACACTCAGTTCTGTAGTCTTTTTGCACAGTGTTTCTGTGGTACATTCCTTTCCTGTCAGTCAAGTTTTATGTCCGAGAAGAAGTTGTGTTGTATCTTTGTGAGTATTGCTCAGCAATTCTGGCACACGCTTGTTTTACGCTGCACTGTGCTATAAAGATTTCTTTTGCTCTTCATAAAGTACTTTCTCTTTTGAAGCTTCACTTCCTGTGTACACAGAGCTGCTGATACGGTTTTCAAGGTTGTTTTCAAGGAAAAGCTGTATTAGAATGTTGAAGGCTTTGTCTGTTGGGCTTTTTTTTTTTCTCTGTGACTCTTCACATTTTAAACTGGAACATAGAAAGAATTTTGAGAGAACTTTTAAAAAAAGAAATCTGTCCAGTATGTAACAAAGTCTTTGTATGCATTATAAAATGAAAAAAGTACCCAAAACAAAGGGAAGTCCTGTAGTACTTCAGAAACTTCTGGACATCTAAGCATTTTTACAATAAAGATGTTACTGTGATTTCTATGTGTCTGTCTGTGTTTCTTGTCTGTGAGGAAAATACCCTTGTTGTCTTTGTCCCTACATGTTGTGGGTGTTGTCACCACAGCTGCAGGACAGACAGTGTCACCAGTGGTACGGCTGGAGGCAGCAGTGTCCATGCTTCAGATTATGGGGGATGTGGGACTGAGCAGAGGGTGATTCCTGAAGGAGTTTGACACTGTGGCATCTATTTTTCATCAGAAAACATAAGATTGTGTTCTTGTCTTCAATCCTGTTTATTTTTTCCAAGCTTTTCAGCTCAGTTTACTCACGGAAGGGAGTTTAATTGTGGGTGGTGGTTGTCTGTCTTATTTCAAGTCAATTTGAGTGATCTGGCTCTGAGTCAGGCTCTCCCAGCTGAGCACTTGCTGGAATGCAAATTTTGCTTTGCTGCACAGTGACAGACATCTTAAACAGGGCTCTATTTATAGCACAATCAGTAGGGGAAGTTCGTAATGTGTCACAAATGGCATATTGTCCTGTTTTGGGGGTTTAGTGCTGAACCCAGCAAATGTCAGATCTTCCTTTCTTACCTATTCCCCCCATGTTTCTCTCTTGACACCCCTGTGAAGGCTGCTGGTGGGTTTAATGTGTTTTTAAGCTACATGAATCAGTAGTTTCCTGTGGTAGGAAAATGAATACTAAAAATGAATGCGTGCTTCAGGCATCTTAAATTGTTCCCGTGCTTGTTTATGCGGTGTTCATATTTACCAGAATTTTTGCTTGGTTAGTTTTCTTAATCGTGAAATGCTCAGAAAACACAAAAGTCTCAGTTTTATCTGGATATCTAGTGTGAGGTGGATTCCAAATGTAAAGGGGCAAATGATGCACGCTAACCTGCCAGTTAGGCACAGCTGGAGGTGAATTCAGCACCAGCAGTTAGAGCAGCTGCTTCAGTGCCACTCTCTTCCTGTTGGGACTAGGAACCTGAGACAGAAGTAATGGTTATTACAAACCTGGTCACGCTTTGGCTGTGAACGTGTACATCACTAAATAATGCTCTTCCATACTCTCACTGATAACACCCCTCCTCCTCAGGGAAGATGCAGGGAACTATTTGCACAGGCTGGAGGTCTGTGGAGGAGCAGCTGTGGGATGAGTACATCCTGCTGAGTACAAAAATTCAGTGCCAGGTCTCATGGAAGGGTTTATTTATACAACTGCTTAAGTTGCTTTTCACCCACTCACATACATCCTCTCATAGATTCCAGTCGTCTCCTCTCAGGCCCGTGTTCTTGCATGGCCTGCTGTAAAACTGTCTCGGGTTCTCAGTGGCAGCCGATGATGACATGAGACAGCTCTTCCCTGTCCTCTCGGAGTTAGCAGCAGTTTGGGTTTCCCCTTGGCTGTGCTCCCTAGCAGGAGGAGCAGCGGTGTCCGTGTCCCCTCGTGTGGGGCCACAGTGCCCTGTGCTGCTGGGTTGGGCCTCCCCATGGGAGCTGCACCTTCCCGGGCTCGGCTGATGGGAGCTTGCGGGCCAAGTGTTGAGTTGATTTTCCTCAGAACCTCCCACATGCACGTTTTCATTTCTCGTGCTCCTATGCCAGTGTTTCTGTGAACGGTCTCAACGGCGTAATCTCACCACATCGAGGAACAGCGAGGGTTCCCACACTCTCCTTTCCTCACTGCCTGCCCCGGCATCTGCCGTCCTCCTAGCCAGGGTCCAGCTCGGCGGGGAGCGCACAGGGACAGCGAGAGACAAGGGCCAAATCCGCGCGGCTCCGGCCTGAAGGGGGAACCCGTGAGGGGGGCGGGAGGTGCCATCCGGTCGCGCCCCGCCCCGGTGCCATCGAGCGCGGACGCGCCGCCGCCAGAGCGGCACCGGAAGCGGCTCCCGGAAGCGGCCGCTCCGTCCCGCGGTGCGATGGCGGCCGGCGGCCCCTGAGGCGCCGCTATGTATGCGGGAGCCGCCGCCGCCGCCGCCGCGCCGCGGGGCCACCGCGCCGGGACTTCATCTCCGTCAGTCTTCGGCCCAGAGGAGACGGTCGGGCTGGCGGCTACAACAACAGCAAGGCCTGGGCGGCGGCGCTCCTGCTGGCGGTGGTGAGAGCCGCGCGGGGGAGCTGTGCGTCCGCGGGCACCCCGGGCTGGGTGCGGGGGGCACTTGGCGATGAGGGAGCGCTGTTGGGCCGGGCGATCGGGATGTCCCTGCGCTTGGGTGCAGCTGCACTGCCATGAGGGACCTGCCTTGGCCCACCCCGTTCCGAGCTGGGCCGGGGCCGTGGCTGTGCGCCCCGGGGCGGCCCTGGGCTCGGCTCTGCTGTCAGGGGCTGCTCCGCGCCGGGTAGGGGGTTGTGGGGCGCGGGCTGGCGGAGGGAGCTCCACGTCATGTCTTAATTTTCACGAACAAAGCTGGGGGGGGGCGGGGGGGGAATACTGTAAAATCCTGTGCTCTGCTAGTGGGCATTTGGAGGGCAGTGCTGCGCTCTGTGGGGTGAGATTTGGTCTCCGTGCCTCTGTTCCCTGTTTTAAGGCTTGAAGGAGGCGCCCTGTCTTCTGCCCTGGGAGAGTAAAGGGGACAGTTCTGCTTTCTGTGGGAAGGCTGAGTGTGACGAGAGGGGTCCCCTGGCAGAGCTCTGGGGAAATGACCATCTTGTCTGCTTGTGGGTAGGGAACTTTACTGGGAGTGGGAGTCTTGGGCCCGGAGAGTCTTATATGAGAAAGAGTGAGTCAAAAGGACACGATAGCCTTTGTTACAGATTGGAGATGATGAATAGTCACCTACAGAGGATTTACAGGTTGTCAGATGAAGCATTTGAAGATCTTGTTTAGGGACACATTCTCACAGTTCTCTTTTATTACCAGCTTGAGAAATGTGGGTCCTTCATTTCACCCTTTACTTTATCCTTATTCTTTGGGAACATGCGTTCTTGTGCCTCATTCCTACCTGTCCCAAGATACCACAGTCAATCCCTCTTTTCTTGTCCTACCTTGAGGAATCACAAGGCTGCCGGTTTTCAAGCATCCTTCTGCAGCAGGGAGATGGTGATATGGTTTGCCGTGCAGGTAGAGCAAAAGATGACAGAGTGGGACTGGCATCTTGCAGTGTGCACAGGGAAGGGTGTGCAGGATTCCTGTACTGCCAAGAGGGCAGGAGGAAAACAGGAAACTTTATGTGCTATGGGGCTCGCAGTGTGAGCACATCGACAGTTCTGACTGGCTGTTGCTAAGAGGATGAGGACTGTGGGAAGTGCTATGGGGTGTCATGTGGTTGGTAGGAAGGATTATTCCTGAGAGTATCATTGGAAACTTAAGTTTGCTCTCTGTATGCCAAAACCAATATTAGTGAATGTCAATGGGACTTTTGGAAAAGTAACAATGGTACTTTAGCAGGTAATGTTTAACTCCAACTTGTTCTCTCTGTAAATACAGGTTAACGTACATAAGCCTCTCTCAAGCTAATATACCATATGCTCTCTGATTTTTAGTGATTATTGCCTATACTTCAGTTTCAACAATGCTTTTTTGCCCAGGATTAAACTTGGAAACATTGTGGATTTGTCTTGTTTGTCGTTGTGGTATTTTACTTCATTTTCATGCTGCTGCAGGTTGGTGACTTTCTTTGTGGTGCGGGACCTGTTCTGTGTGACAGTTCCCATGTTTATCAGAGGCAAGATGCCTGGCTTCTCTTTCACAGATTGGCAGAATATTCTGAGTTGGAAGGGACCCACAAGGATCATTGAGTCCAACTCTTGAAGTGAATGGCCCGTATGGGGATTGAACCCGTGACCTATCCAGTGACTGGTGCTCAGCTTATTTTGAGCCTTTCTTCTTTGCTGCAGTAACATTTTTAGTTTTCCTACCAGTTGCTTCTGTTCTTATTTTGCATATGCACTGCACGGTACCTCCCCAGCCAGGAGGAAAGAGGCTTTTGGCTGATTTCTCAGTTGACATCTGGACATCTGCAGATGGAGATCTCAGGTTAGGCAGTGCAGGTTGTGATGAAAGTCAGCTGTAGTTGAAGCTCTGTGGGATCCTTGGCATTCGGCAGGTTCTGAGGTTCTTGCAGCAAGTGCCTCTGATATTTCTGTGAGCTTGCTGTGCCACATGCTAGCTGGTTAGATTCCTGTTTTCTCTGTCATCAAAGAAAATAAGCAATGGATATCTGCATTTGGAAACAGGGTAAAATTAAACCTACTGGGTTTTGTGTTTCTTAATCTGAGTGAACCGGTAAGAGTTAATTTTTAACTGTTAATTTTTAACTGAGTAGGCTCTTAATGTCATGCTAAATGTTCTTCCTCTCACTTCTTTTCTCTCCTAAAGAAATGGAAGCAGCTGTCCCGACTCCAGCGGAGTGTCATTCTCTTCCTGTTTGCCTTCTTGGCAGTCTGTGGAGTCATTTCGTACACAAGCATGGGAGAAGCATGGAAAAGTATGTGTTCTGTACAGCTTGGAATTGCCTGTGAGGTGTTAGTTAGGAAATTGTATTTCTTATAACCAGTTTTAATTTCTATTGACAGTGCCTGGGTGTATTCATTAAAGCACAGGTGTGAGATGATTTTATGTGAAGTTTCAATGACTTAATTCTTAATCAGAAATATTTTTCATATCTCTTTTCTTTGTTTAGCTTGGCTAGAGCAACGTTTTATTTTAGTTGATGTCCTGGTTTTGAGCAGGACAGGGTTAAATTTTTGCAGTAGCTGGGAGGGGGCGTGGCTAAGGCCCAGATGTTATTCTGTACAACCTCACTTCATTGCTGGAGGCAGAAGGGTGGGGGAACAGGGGCAGTGGGGGAATGGTGGTGGTGGTGGTGGTGGTGAAGGGACTCTGAGAGTGGCAGTGCGGTTTTGAAGAGCCTTGTTGGGGGCACTGAGTTGGGGAATACCATTGCTAAACCATAACAGCTCTAGTTGGTGCCCAGTGTGAGGCACAAAGTGCTGAGGTAACAACAGATCTGCCCAGAGCAGGTTGAAAACAAGTTTGATCTAAGCATTTGTTATATTAGGTACAGAACCACTGGTCATGGTGTTGCTTGGTCTGTTCACATGGTTGTGGTACCTAACCCTGTATATATTCCTCTATGTGCTCCTTGTGGGGATCTTTTTCAGAGCAGGGAGAGGGATCAGGATTGCTTTGTTGCTGTAGTGTGGGTTTTCAGTTTATGACATGATAATATCAAGGGCAACGAGGGTCATTTGGGATGTGTGTTCAGTGTTGCTCTCCTACCATACCTTGAGCACTATCTTTGGGAGTCCAGTAATAATCGTACCCATTCTGTGTGGGGAACAGGGGAGGATGATTTTCCCCAGCCTTTCACCCCCCTTTCCTCCTTCGGACCTATTACAACAGCTTTTGAGATTTTTGAATTCCTTTGGATGTGAAGGAAAGCATGTTCTTGTTGCTAAGTCTGCCAGGTGTCCTCAGTGCAGTCCACACCATGTTTAGAGTCAAAGAGATTTCTAGGAAGGTCATTCTGAGATCTGCCCTGAGGGTGGCTAGTCATGAGTGGCATGGAATGTGGGAGAAAATGGGCCAGCTTTTGGGGAAATTCTCTGCTGCAATGGTTTGGAAGTTCACCCCTGAACAGCTACCGCACCCTGATAAAGTGGCAGAATATTTGAAAGGAGAATGCTGTAGCAACTCCAGAAAGGAGCAACTTATTGCAGTGTGTTAGGCCCTGGCTACTATTTGAGACGCTCTCATCACCAGACAGCACCCTCAGGGGGAGGAGGAGGAAAGCAGAGCAACAGCCACAGTGACTGCTCAGACTGCAGCTGAGCCAAAGGAACAACCCATGCCAGTAGCAGTCGCCCCTATACATGAGAAGAAATCCAAAACCAAATCAGTTTGCTTAGTGAGGCATGAAGAGGAAGTAGGGCCCTCAGAACAGGAGGAGGAGGCAGGGCCAGAGATAATCACCCGATCCCCATCCTTGGGTGACCTGTGAGATGTGTGAAAAGATTTCGGCTGCTAGTCAGGTGAGCCCCTGGTGACCTGGTTACTCTGGTGCTGTGCTTTTGCGGCCCACAATATGAAACTAGATGGCAGTGAAGCCAAACAACTGGGATCCCTGTCCCAGGATGGGGGCACTGACCAGGGAATTTGGAAGAGGACAGAAACACTCAGCCTCTGCCCCAGGGATGGAAACACAACCTCACTATTTGCATGGACTGATCCAGACTGCACTGGAAAAGGGTGAGGCTCCAGAACATTTGCAATACATTGATGACATCATCACGGCAGAGGAAGTTCTTGAGAAAGGGGAGAAGATAATCCATCCTCCTGAAGGCCGGTTTTGCCATAAAACAAAGTAAGGTCAAGGGACCTGCCCAGGAAATTAAGTTTGTAAGGGTAAAATGGCAAGATGGGCATTGTGAGATTTCAGTGTATGTGGTCAACGAGATACCAGCTGTGTCCTCAGCCACCAGCAAGAAGGAAACGCAGGCTTTCCTGGGCACTGCAGGTTTTTGGAAGATGCATATTCCAGATTACAGTCAGATTGTCAGCCCTCTCTATCTTTTGACCTGGAAGAAAAACCATTTCAAGTGGGACCCTGAACAACAACCTTTTGAACAAATTAAACAGGAGGTTGCTCATGTAGTAGGCCTGAGGTCAGTCAGGACAGGACAAGATGTGAAAAATGTGTTCTACACCGCAGCTGGGGAGAATGGCCCTTCCTGGAGTCTCTGGAAAAAAGTACCTGGGGAGACTCCAGGACAACCCCCAGGGTTCTGGAGTTGGGGATACAAAGGATCTGGGTCTGCTACACCCCAACTGAAAGAGAGATCCTAGCAGCTTCTGAAGGAGTTTGATCCACTTCAGAAGTGATTGGCACTGAAGCACAGCTCCTCCTGGCACCCCAACTGCCAGTTCTGGGCTGTGTTCAACGGGAAAGTCCCTTACACACATCATGCCACTGATGCCACATGAAGTGAATTGCTCTGATCACACAGCAAGCTCAAATAGGAAACCCCAATTACCCAGAGATCTTGGAGGTCATCAGTAATTGGCCTGAAGGTGAAAATTTCAGACTGTCATCATCAGAGGATGAAAAGGTGACATGTGCTGAGGAGGCCCCACCATATAATCAGCTACCAGAAAATGAAAGGAGACACGCTTTCTTCACTGACGGTTCCTGCTGTATTGAAGGGACATACTGAAAATGGAAAGCTGCCATGTGGAGTCCTGTGCGGCAGGTCACAGAAGCTTTTGAGGGACAAGGTGGATCAAGTCAGGTTGCAGAGTTGAAGGCCATCCAGCTGACTTGAGATATCACTGGACAAGAGAGATGGCCAGTGCTCGACCTCTACACTGACTCGTGGGTTGTGGCAAATTCTCTGAGGGGTGCCTGGACCTGTGGAAAAAGACCAGTTGGCAGCACAGAGGGAAACCCATCTGGGCTGCTGAATTGGGGCAACTGTGCCCAGGTAGAGTAGTTGGCTGTTAAAATACATCATGTAAGATACACAAGTACCCAAGAGTCGGGCTACTGAAGAACATCACAACAGACAGGTGGATCAGGCTGCCAAGATTTAAGTGTCTTAGGTGAATCTGGACTGGTAACACAAGGGGAAATTACTTCAGGTCATCAGGGGAGAGATGCAACATCCAGATGGGCTTGTGATCGAAGGGTGGACTTAGCCATGGACATCATCTCCCAGGTTATCAGTAACTGTGAAACATGCGCTGCAATCAAGCAGGACCAAGTGAGTAAAGTCTCTGATATGGGAGGCAATGGTCAAAATATAAATATGGAGAGGCCTGGCAAATTGATCACGTCACACTCCTACAAACCCACCAAGGCAAGTGCCACATGCTGACAGTGGTGGAAACAACCACTGGATGGCTGGAGACGCACCCTGTGCCTCACACCACTGCCTGGAACACCATCCTGGGCCTGGAAAAGCAAGTCATGTGGTGACATGGCCCCCAGAGAGAATTGAGTCGGACAATGGAACTCATTTCAAAAACAGCCTCATAGACCCCTGGGCCAGAGAGCATGGAATGGAGTGGATGTATCATATTTCCTATCATGCACCAACCTCTGGTGCATGAATTGTACAATGGACTGTTAAAAACCACATTGAAAGTAATGGATGGTGGGACCTTCAAACATTGGGATTTGCATTTAATGAAGGCCACCTGATTAGTTAACACCTCTATCTCTACCAGTCTAGCTGGGCCTATCCAATCAAAACCTCCACATACTGTAAAAGGTGATAAAGTCCCTGTGGCACATATGCAGAATGCGTTAGGGAAGATAATTTGGATTAGTCCTGCTTCAAGCAAACGCAAACCCATCTGTCGGATTGTTTTTGATCGAGGACCTGGGTGCACTTGGTGGGTAATGCATGGGGATGGGGAAACACAATGTGTCCCTCGAGGGGATTTGATTTTTGGGTGAGCACAGTCTGTAATGTTGAATTGTATGATATTGGTTGCTGAATGACGTTGCCACTGTGTGCCATAACCACCGTGGACAGTGAGGGCAGATTGCTCTAAATACACCAGTCGTGAGCTCCTGATACAGCCTGAACCAACTGACAGCAGGTCTTCCTGCCCTGGAAGACATAAGGACGGATAGAACCCAGAGTCCTGGACTAAATGAACTCAACAGACATCTTAGAAGGATGATCTTTGACTATGGAATTTATACCTGTACTTCTGTACATTTATATATGTATATAGTTGGATGGTATAGAGGTAGGCATGGATAATGTACAGGGTGAAGAAATCTTGGCCATGAATAGGGTCAAGAAAAGTTGTGTAGGTACATAGGTACCTGTGTGTGTGTCCTGATTCCGGCCAGGACAGCAATAATTTTTTGCAGTAGCCACAAGGGGTTGTGGCTGAGGCTTTGATGTTATTCTACACCATGTTGTGTCATTGGGGGGTGGGGAAGGGACTATTTTGTTATTAATATTATTGCTGTTACTGTTAATTTTCTTATCTCATTGTTGTTTCCAGTTAATTGTTCTTATCTCAACCTTTCCCTTACCTCCAATTCTCAACTCCATCCCCGATGCAGTGGGAAGTGGGAGGAGAAAACAGGGGAGCAGAGAGTGGCAGTGTGGTTTTGGAGGGTCTCGGTGGGGGTACTGAATTTGGGAGTACCATTCCTAAACCATGACAGTTGATTAAGATTTGGTGGCTGTTTATTCTGTTTGTATGTAGATATTGGTAGCCCAAACCTAATCAGTAGAATAAGATAATCCTCTCTTGGTTTTGACTGCCCATCAGATTAGAAAATCCAAGCATTTGTACAATACTTAAGCACATTTAGCTTTGATATTATCTTACTGCCTGTATTGAGAAACTGAAATAGTAGCAATTAAAAAAAAAGTGCCTTTTAGCAGCCCTTTTGTATATTAGGGAGAGGATTAATACCAAAATACATTTGTATTTAACTATTAGTGTGTGTTTATCAATGTTTTGTGAATGCATTTTTTGGAGGTGCATCCACTATGTGAATGCAGCAAATTATAAATTTCTAGCTGCAGCCTGAAGTGTTGATTCTTTGTGCTGAGCAGTTTTGTGTGTCTAGGTCTAACAAACAAGCCATTAGATGATCAGAGAACAGAACAAGAAATTCCTGGAGTAAAGCTGGCAAATCCAGCTGTTCTACCAGCACCCCAGAAAGCAGATGCCAACCGTGGAGACTACCCTGAGCTTTCGCCGCAGGTACTGAGAGAAGAAATGAGTTTTATAAAGCTACCAAAGAACTTGTGAAGGCTGCAAATAGAGCTTGGTTCCAACAGTTGTGGAGAAAGGAGTTAGAACTTGCAAAAAAAAGTCTACTCTGGGTGGAATGCTGGCCTTTCAGGAAGGGCTTTGGTGTAGCATTTCTTGCTTTATCTTTTTCATTTAAGTGTTCTGTATGCTATTTATTATTCATTGCTCTGCCCGGGAGTGCCAGGATTTTAGGTCACAGTGACCTCTTACTTGAGGCTTCACTCGTGCTGTGATTAATTTGTTTTGACTTGGGAGTGCTCTGGGCATCAGTCTCACTGTTGTGAGGAGCCTGGAGTCGTGGCTGAGTAGGAGACATGAATGCAGTTGATGTCACAGTGAATTGGAGCAGCTTTTCTGAGAGCTTGAGAAATAGCAGCAGGGAGAGCAGATGTTAGGAGTGTTTGAAGGGTTATGTTTGTGGGAGATGCAACGGGAAAGGAACATCAACTGACTGTGGATTAGCGCATTAGGTCTTTAGCATACTTTCCATTCAAGGCAGAACTTGCCTGCTGATATGATAGCAAAATAAGATTTATCTGAAGCATTATTTAATGTTGTTGAGTGAATATCGTTGACTTATGGTTTGAAATTTTACCATCTTTATGACATACCAAGCACATATTTTTTTTTCTTCTCCCAGAAGCAGCCAAACCCACCTCATGTTCGTCGTGGTCCTTCCAATCTTCAGATCAAGGCACCACAGAGGGACACAAGGCTGAAGACCCGACACAGTACCATCAGGGCTGTAGAAGGGCCAGTCCAGACTGATAAAGGAGAGAAAACAGAGAAATCCATTATCAGGTAGAAATGTTTCAAGCAAGCTACAGTGTTTCCCCTCTCCACCAACATCCATTGAGTATTGGAGTGATAATTGTAAGGGCTTTTTGTTTTTGTGTCTGAGGTGGTTTTCTTTCTTGTATTTGTTCTCGAGCCTGGCCTGATACCTGTTGATATTGCTAGGCTGACAGATTTCATTTCAGTGAATGTGCAGCTTCTCTGATTTTACTCTTTGCATCAAACAGCTGCAGAGGATTTGGAGCCCTGCGAGGCTGGCTGTATTTCTAATGCACTTAGATGCTCTTAATGTTCAGGAGGATTCTTGGTGTCCAGAGGTTTCTTCTGTTTGTTGTAATAAATATTAATGTACCGGTATCGGTACAATAGTGCTGCTACAAGTGTCTTTGTCCTAGCCCAGGCTTGGAAAATGATAGCAGTGTCAGTACTGATTAGGGATTGGTGCCACTAAACACAGTGAGCCCAGGCTAAACTGACAGAAACCACAGATGTGTATGTAACTGTGTGTATGTGACTGTACACAATGTGCTTACTCCTTTCTTATAAACAATTTCTCCTACAGTTCAGAGACCCCTTATACATATCTAGTAGTATCTTTTGTAAAGGATCTGTGCTGCTATGGTTGTAGTTATACCAAGTTGTTTCCCAAGATGATATTGATTTAAGTGGTTTGATTTGGGAATAACTGAAGGAATGTAACATGGGTATAGAAAAGACTACTAAAAGTTCAGCAGATATTCTTCAGATTTGGAACACTAGGCTTGGGATTTTTATGTGTTTGTGTCCTGTTCAGCGCTGGCTCAGCTGAGCTGATCGTAACATCAGAACTGTGCCTGCCTCAACATTTTGGCTGTTGGCGTTGTCTGAAAATGTTATATTGCTGTGCTTCTGCCTGTGCTGTAACTCATAGAATTAAGCAGCTGGTAACAGGAGAATTTAGGATAGCAAGGAAAGCTTACTGAAGACTAGTTACAAATTTAAGGAATGAAAGTAAGACATGAAATATGGGATTATCTAAGTCAGAAGATATGCTGACTGTAAACAATATAAACTTTAAAGGTCCTGTAAGCCTAGTTCCTTTAGGAAGCATATCAGTGAGCTCAAAGGCAACATATCTGTATATTAAGTGGTATGATCGAGATTGTTTGATCTTGATATGAACTTCGCTTGAATTGAAGTCCATCCTGAAAGACTTTTCCTTCATGAGGTTTTTCACAAAAACCTGTAAAACTGATTTATGCATCTGTGGTGGCAGGAAAGGCTTGTGACCCCATGATAGCAAAGCCCATACTTTGAGCAGCTCGTCCTTTGTGCTTCTTCGTGGTTTTTTGGTGATCATCATTTGTGTGGTACTATTTAGTGTTAGTGGCTGGTGTGGCCATTTCAGAGCCGGTAGATAACAAATTACTTGTAATGCAGCATTCTCAGGTGTTTTTTATTAAATTCCATTGCCAAGATGTTTAATGAAATTCCAAGAGCTTGTAAGACACATTTCTTAATACAGTAAAATTTCTCTGGTGCAAATTTCTTTCTTTGAACAGAAAACTTATCTAGTGGACAACACAGTTATTTTGATCCTTGACACAAAATCCAACTTTTTTTTTAATCAAAGTATCATGAGAAAAAGGAAATGCAAAGATAAATCCCATTCATTCACATGACTTTCTGTGACCAAAATAAGTCTTAATTACAGTCCCTTGTATTTGCAGCTGGAGAGGAGCAGTGATAGAACCTGACCAAAACACTGAACCTCCATCCAGTAAAATAAAGGAACCAGAAAAACCTTCATCTGTGGAGGCTGAAGACCAGAAGGAACCAGGTAAATAGTACAGTTAATTATACCTTTATTTTTGTTCGCTTCTGTGGTTGAAATTGTGCGAATTTTCCCCATGGACATGTATTTTATTTATTGTAATTAAAGGAAACAAAAAGTTTAGGAAAGATTACTTACCTAGAACATGCAAGCCTTTCAGTGTCCTTATTCCACCATGGCAGTCTTCATGCTCATTAGCCTTCAGAATCTGAAAGTCTTTGAATTATAGTCTCTGGGACGAGGCACATATTTCAGGATAGGATAATCTAAGGAGAGAGGTTGTGAAAGAGACAGTTTCCTTTTTCAGCAGTGGTTTTCCTTTTGTTCTCCAAATACAGGGAAAGTGACTTCCTCCCTGAACTAAACTCAACTGTTTTTAAGGCTCACCAGAAAGCTGCAGAAGTTGTTTTTCAAGTTGCTGCCCTTGTGGAGCGAAGAACCTGTTGTTCCTTCTGGGTTCAACAAGGAAGTTCTGGTGTGATAAACATGGTGTATTTCAACGTGATGTATTTGCACTTTCGCTAGCTAAATATTTATGGGGTTAGCTTTGCTGCTTGGTGTTTCCCACTCTAGAAGTCTTTGTTTACAATTTTGAAAAATTTCGGCTAATGGGCTTGAAATTTTCCATGGTGGATGTGTAACATAAAATTCATGTGATGGCAAATTGCAAGCAAATATCAGTAGAATTATGGAGAAAGACATGGCTTTGCCAAGACCAAAAATGTAAATTTTCTTCCTCTTTTGGTATTAAATGAAAAGTTCAAAAGACATTCATTTTATTGAAGTGGTTTTAAATTTAACAGAAAGCAATGAATAAAAGAGGGAAGATGAAGAAAAAATGGTGTGTGTTGGATCAGTTGAGGATTGTATTGTTAAGCATGTGTATTCGGCAGCTGAATTACTGTGGATCTTAATTTGGTATTTCCTGACTTCAGCTCTTTGAGCTTTAGTGATAATCATCTACAACTGTACATGTGATTATTTTAATGTTTTATTTGAAGAAGTGACAATTTTGTTGCCAGGGAGAGATATCTCTTTTTCCACCTGGCTGAATTGCTGACCAGAAACAACTGACTGGTTATTCTGTCCTGAAAAGAATAATATGAGGATGGTTTTTCCGTTGCACGGATCAGTTAGTTTGGAAGAAAGTTAACTTTGGGTAGAATGCAGCAAAATGGTGCTTGGTATAGCTGCATAATGCCCTGCAGAAGTCCTGAGCAAGGTGCTGTTTTCCTTTGCAGTGCCCATAAATGAGCGGCAGCTGGCTGTGATCGAAGCCTTCCGCCATGCCTGGAGAGGGTACAAGGATTTTGCCTGGGGCCACGATGAGCTGAAGCCTTTGTCCAAGTCCTACAGTGAGTGGTTTGGACTTGGGCTTACCTTAATTGATGCCTTGGATACCATGTGGATTTTAGGCTTAAAAGAAGGTAACTTTTTTTCCTCCTCCATTTGTTTCCCTCTAAAATAATTCCTTATATTATATCCAGGCAGTGCATGTTCAGAGGTCTTTGAGGGGAACATTTTTTACATGTGACCAGTAAGTTTAGCTTTCCTGTGTGGGTAAATATATATATATATATATGTACACACATACATATACATACACACACATAAATATGTATAAAATATTTTTTAAAAACTCCAACTAGATTAAAGGACAGTGTTTTTCTTGCAGTAGAATTTTGAGCCAGAAAAAGAATATTCCATGGTTATATGTAACGGCGAGGCCCTTGTATAACAAGGAATGAATCTGCTCCTCGTGGTGGTGTAATCAAAGAGGCTTTATTTCAAAATTCCCGCTCCTTATATCCCTGTATACCATGTGACTTCTTCAGCCAATAGAGTTATATGTGACCGGCATGTTCTCTTGGGCCTACCCTCGTGCCTTCAGACACGCCTCCCACAGTTATATACAACGAGAGACGCAGTGGATATATCTGTAAGGAATCCGTGGGTGGAGAAAGGGAGCGCTCAATACCTTCTTCCTGAATTGCTCTTCTGTCTGTATTTTTGAGAGATACTCTGGAAGTGACCATGTTAGAAAACTTTAAAACAGATTTTAAAAACCAACCCAAAATTTTTGCAATTCTGTTGCAAAAAACTTAAATGCTTAATCAGTATTTAAGAGGAATTTTTGTTGTGTGTTTGGCTTTTTTTTTTTTCTTTTTGGTGGTGCAGGGCTTTTAGTGTTATTTAAAAATTTCTGGAACTGTATTTATATAACCTTGGTAGATAGCCTCCTTTGTAAACTTTTATTAATCATGCAGCTTTTTCTGTTGAGATAGAAAGAACAGACCTGCTAGTAAGGGAACAATAAATACTCAGTCCTTCATGGTTCTCTCTCTTCTACCTTTGAAGTTTGCATAAAGTAGAATTTTTGTTTGGTTTAATATGTCATGTGTGTGCAGCTCTAGGCCTCAGCAGGCTTTCTTGAAGTGTCATCAAGTTATCAGTGTATTGCTCTTTTTTTTCCCTAAAAAATTAATTGCGAATTGAATAAAACTTTTAAAATAAATTATTAGTAATTTAGATGTGCTGAAAAGGTGTTCTTGGTGAGGAGTTCTTCATATTTTATAGCAGTTCTGCTGGTTGCCTTAGAAAGCTCCTGAGGTATCTTCTGAATAACAAATGCTATGTAAATCAAAGTTTTCTTTGAGGCTGCCAATCTTTTTTATTAGCTGATGAATGCAAAAGCTTCTGTGGCAGAGGACTCTGCCTTTGCTGTTCTGCTGCTAATAGCCCTAACATCTGTCTGGGAGATTTTCTGTGGTTCTTAATCTGCTCAGCATCCAAGACCAGAGGGCACAGAGGCATCCTTTTGCTTTAGAGTTTATCTTCTGTGAAATGCCTTCAATTTCTGAGAAACTGGTTGTGCTGCTGCTTCTCACAAGAAGGAAGTTCTGGAGGCTGTGAGATTGTTCGAGATAGCCCAGCCCTCACAATTGGAGGCTGAGCTGACTCACGTGCACCATGGAGATAGATGCTCTGCCGACGCAGTCACTGAGCGATTGATGATGCTGCTGCTAAGCTGGCTGATGAATCTAAAATGGCTTTCTTTTTACGTTCTTTTTTTTAAATTAGTAGTGTCATAAACAACCATTTTTGTTCCTAGAGAAAAAAATTGCAACGTGTTGGGATTTTGTGTATTAAGTGCTGAGGCAGGAAGCAGGCCCCCCAGGACATTGCTAGGCTAAAGGTGTTAATGGCTGTTAACTGAATATGTTGTCTGTTGTCTTGGTAGATAACAGCTTTAGCTGAAGATTTAATTGAAAACAGAAGGCTCTGTGAAAGTGTAACTAACTGTCTGACAAGTCAAATAGATGGATTTGAAAGACTTAAATTTCTGGATTTTTTAAATAAAGGCTTCCTCTATACCTTCTTTTCTTAGACTATTAAGAACTTTCTATTTTGGTGGATATTTCTTCTGTATGCATCTGTGGTGTGTGCTGAATAAGAATTAAGCCAGGATGTGCTCTTCACTTTAGTTTTCCACCTAAAATGATCACCTCTGTAGACAGATATAAATAAGTGTCTGGGATATATGGAATACTCATATGTCTAGTTGTTTGAACATTCCAGAAGTTCATAAATGAACTACCTTTTATACTTTGCAGAATTTGAAGAAGCAAGAAAATGGGTAGCAAATGATTTAGTATTTGATAAAAATGTGGATGTGAACCTGTTTGAGAGCACTATCCGTATCCTAGGCGGCTTGCTGAGCACCTACCACCTCTCTGGAGATGGCCTTTTCCTGGAAAAAGCTGTGAGTGACAGGCCTTACAAATGAAACTGGGTTATGTATTCCATACTGGACAAAGTTGAGGGAAAATTTCTCAGAAAGTTAAATGTTTTTTAAGAATTTCATATTTAAAGTGGTGGGAAAGGGATTTACCATTAAGCTTTTAAGCCTGCACCTCTCTTTGCTCTTTGGATGACCTCAGAGCCTGGCTGTGTTTAGCACTTATCCTTGTATGCCTGCTCTTCTGCTGATGAAGGGCTGACCGTAATAAAGTTCATGAAACAAAGGAAGAAATAAATGTTTGGAAAAGGGTAATAATTGTCTTTTGATTCCCTCTCTGTGTGTCTTAACAGCGTCAGCCACCTCTTCAGATTAGCCAGATGCAGTTAGTGACTGCAGACTTGCGTCATGTGGCATAGGGATTGCAGCCTCAGATGAGGCCTGCAGTGCTAGGGACAAGGTGGAAACTCTGCTCATTACTATGAATAAGTTGATGACCTTTTTAATTCTTTAATTGCTTGCACCATCTAAAACTAAGCTGCTGTTCTGTCTTTTTCTGTCTGCTTGGTGAAGAAAATCTAATGGGGTGAGAGTGTATATTTATTTTTTGTTTTGTTTGTTGCTTTGTCCTGTGCTTATGGGGTTTCTCTAGAAAGACATTGGGAACAGGCTTATGCCAGCATTCAAGACCCCCTCCAAGATACCGTATTCTGATGTCAACATTGGCCGGGGCACTGCACATCCTCCTCGTTGGACATCCGATAGCACTGTGGCAGAGGTGACCAGCATTCAGCTGGAGTTTAGGGAGCTCTCTCGTCTCACTGGAGATGAGAAGTTTCGGGTATGTAAGAATAAGTTGATGTCTCTTTCTTTTTCCACCTCCCTGCAGCTCCACCACTGACTCTTATCAGTATTCATGGTCTCTGGAGTCTCTAAGTTACAATAAATAAATTGTGAAACTCTAAATGAGGAAAGAAAAATAAACAAAATGTCCTGATTATTTTATTGAATACCTAAAAGTAGTAGTGGAGATGAATAATTATTTTTCTTTCTCAGAAACGGCTTTTAGTTAAAAAAATAAAAAATTCTGAGTGTGGTTTCTTGATGCCATTATCTGTACGCAAAGAAAAAAACTGTATTGTTGCCATCCAAGGAACTAAAATATGACTCACTAGATAAGAGTCTGAGTGCAGGTCACAGTATAGGGAAGAGTAATTTCAGAGAAAATAATATTTTCCAGTTTTCTTTTTGTTTGCTGATGTGTTTTATTGTTTTGAACTGTATCCACAGCTCAATTTTGAAGAATGCAGTTATTTAAGGAAGCTGTAGCTATTGCATGATTCATGTAGTTGTTATTTTAGCTGGACTTCTACTTTGTAAAGCTGAGTAAATCAGATCATAGTCCTGTCCCATAGTACTGGCTTTCGAGTGGGCTTACCTTGAAGGAAAGGAAACAGTTATAATTATTTCAGAGTACTTAAATGTACCCAGAACATTATGTTTTGAGAGTCCAAAAGTTTGAAATCCTGTATTGAAATATTGCTTGAGCTGAACTTTATGTCCCTGATGCTAATTTAGGTAAGAAAAGTTAGAGATTTGTTACAGTTTTGTGCATCATTTATACCTGTAATTTATGTTTGCCATTTTCTTTCTTGTAGAAAGCTGTAGATGAGGTGATGAAGCATGTTCACACACTCTCAGGGAAAAATGATGGCCTCGTGCCTATGTTCATCAACACCAACAGCGGGCAGTTCACGCACCTGGGGGTCTACACTCTGGGAGCCAGAGCTGACAGCTACTATGAGTATCTGCTCAAGCAGTGGATTCAGGGTGGGAAAAAAGAAAACGAGTAAGTTCTTTCCACTTCTCATATCGGTGTGAGAATTAGGTGAGCTGTTTTGTTGTAGTGAGTTTGCTGCTTAAAGAAAAATAACGTATGTGCCCAAGAGTCAAGTAAACATATCACTGTTTTTAAAAGCAAGCTAAGCAGCAAGAGGGACCTGTGGTAACTTCATGTAAAACCAGTAGGAGAGTTAGGCTTAGTCTCAAAACTCCTTCTCCATAGAAAGCTTTTCTTCCTCAGCTCATCAGAGGTAAGGAATGTGACAGCAGGCGATGAAAATTAAGTCTTTGCTGTAGATATGGAGCATAATTAGACACTTCTGAAATACTGCTGATACTTCCTTTCACCAGCAATGTCTGTGTTTGCTCTGGGTTTGTTAGTGCAGGGCAAAAGGAGACAGAAGTTTGATGTCTGTGTAAATCTTTGCTTTAATTACAGAATCACAGACTGGTTTGGGTTTGAAGGGACCTTAAAGCTCATCTCATTCTATGGGCAGGAATACCTTCCACTATCCCAGGTTGCTCCAAACCCCATCCAACCTGGCCTTGAATGCTTCCAGGGATAAGGCAGTCACAGCTTCTCTGGGCAACCTGTGCCAGGGCCTCACCACCCCGACAGGGAAGAATTTCTTCCTAATATCCAATATAAACCTACTTACTTTCAATGTAAAGCCCCTTTCTCTATCACTACATGCTCTTGTAAAAAGTCCCTCTTTAAGTCTCATACGTTTCTTTTGTCTGCACTGCAAAAGTGGAAGAGAAACTTTACAAGGAGCAGAGGAATTAAAGATGTTGAAAAAGAAGGTTTCCTCCAAAACAAGACAAAAAATCCAGCAGTTTTTGTCTGCATTATGAGCTAATTATGTTGGACTTGTTAATTTTGAGGGGTTTAATGCAGAGAGAGTGACAACATGCCTCTTAGAGGCTTTTCTGTGTATCAGAGCAAATGCCTTTCTACAAACAAAGTTTTCTCACTGCTTTGTCCAAGCTTTTTACCTCACTGTAAATGGAGAATCAGTGTTTTTGGGACCACAATGACATTTTGTGAGCCTTGCAATGGAAAACAACAGGTTGTTTTCCACATGAAAGTTCTTGGAAACAAAGGAAAATCAAATTAAATACTGTGAAACAATGTTTCACAATGAGAGAGGTCAATTGGAAAAGATTCCTCCAACTCTTTGAATCTCCATCTTGGATGGAGATACTACTGCATCTTTGGATGAAGGTACCAAAAAATTGCTTGGATAAAACCTCAGGCAACCTGATGTAACTGAATTTGCCTCAGAGCAGAGGGATGAAGTAGAGACCTCCATGAGGTCCTTCCCAGCTAGATTTTCTGTGATTTCAATTAGTTTACTTCCAAGGATTTTTGAAATAATTTTTGGCTATTGCCTAGAAACAGTTGGGGATGTTTTCTTTAATACATAAATAAGGATTTACTTTTTAGAGTATTGCTACATGGTAACAACAACCAATTAACATCCAGTTAATGGGGACTTTGAGGGTTTTTTTGTCAGTTTTCACATTTAGTTAAATATTATTCTTTAGACCAAAATAACAGTCTCCTAAAGGATTGTGGTGATCAACTATAATGAAATATGTTTTGATTGTGTGTACGTGAACCAACTGGGAATGATTTTAATTCACAGGCTGTTGGAAGACTATATGAGAGCCATAGAAGGGGTGAAAAAGCATCTTCTTCAGAGATCAGCCCCCAAAAAGCTTACTTTTGTAGGAGAGCTTGCTCATGGCCATTTCAGTGCCAAGATGGTAAGAAATACAATTGCATTTAAAAAAAACAACAAAAGAAAACAGAAAATCATGACAAAATTTAAATAAAACCCAACACACGGCCAGGCAAATGCAAAGCTTTCCCCTCTTTAAAGGAAAAAACCACCACCCTAAACCAACAAAAAACCAAAACCCCAGACTATATATACATACACATCTGTCTCTCCAGTGTGATGGCAGTGCTGAGTAACTGCTTTGTACATACTAACCGCATGTGCAAACCAGGGGCCTTCTCTTTGAGTTATTCTAGTAAACCTATTTATTTTCCTCTAAGATTGAACATTTTGGTACTGGAGTTAAATTTTCTAATTTTCTTTCTCTTTTTTTCTTCTGTTTTTTTTGGTCATGAAATTCCAGTGTCTGAAGCTGCCTATTTCATGTATTATTCATTTTCCATAATTCAAAAATATATGTGGACACTCGCACACCCGGCTTTTCAGATTTGCCTTCAAAAGAAGGTGGTGATCTAATATTGTGTTATGGGATTAAAAAAAAATCTGGTAATTTTGGAGGCTTCTGTCCATTCATGACTTTTTTTTCTTTTCCTACTGTAGGGTTCTTGAGTAAAACAGTATGCTGTTTGCTGTGGGGAAAATTGATTAATCCTAACTCCCTGCTCTTAATATATGCATCCACACTCTTTAAAATGCATTTTAAGATCTTGCAGTTAAAGATCTCATGCAAGTGTTAAAAATCTCATGCAAGTGCAGGTATGGTACGTGCGTGTGGCTTGTCTTAGAGGCAAGTGATGTATTACTAATGTAAGTGATGTATTACTAATGTATGTGTAGCCTTATCTTTTTCAATACCTGAAGTGAGCTTTAATGAATTCTATTACTTGTTTGGTTTCCTGATGTATATTTTTTAGATCCTCAGGTCTAGTTTTCAGCATGTTCTTCTTGGATCTGAATTTCCCAAAAGCTCTCCAAACCTGCTGTGAGTGACACCAGAGTCTGGGTAGAGGGGGCTGCTCCATCCCAAGATGGGACAGAATTTAATTGAGACAGATAGATTTGGCTTAGGCATCTCCATGTGTCAGTACACTTTCTTCTGTTCCAGGGAGTTAGAATTTTGGTATTTAATATATTATTACTTGTTGAAAGGCTGGACAGGTCTCTTACCCTGGCCAGCTGGAAAAGTGGGGAATGTTTGGCTCTTATGTTTATGTTTACCTTTGCAAACCTCAACTTTCCTTTAGGACTGGACAAAGCTTTTGAAGGTTCATACAGGGGCATCAGAATGGTTTTACTATCTTTTTTGATGATGAGACCTGAACTTTCATTCTGAATGAATGATTTTAAAGAATTATGATTAAGAATCATTTTAAATTCCATATGTGACATCAATCTGCAGTTCTTACAGTCTTATATCAGTGGTGGACTAGCCCCAGAATGAGGACAACCAAACCTTTAGGTGGTTCTGCTGACTCCCTGGATGAGCTGATATGGAACGTATTGTATGCTTCTGGTAAACTAAAAGACAGTCTCCTCCCCCTCACCCTGACCTGAGACCTTTTTTCCAGAAACTTGTCATAGAAACACTGTCTGGGATGTTTTCCAATTTAATGATTTCTCTAGTAATGCTGCTTGCCTCATGCTGCATTACATTAGATTGTTAAAAACTTATCCTCAAGTTGTAGGTACCAGAAATGTGTTTTGAAGAAGAGAAAGAATAAACCCAGACAGAGATGCATGCACACACACACACACAAATACCTGTTTGATGCATAACTTCTCCGCAGTAAGAGTTGTCTTGTCGTGCAGGATCACTTGGTTTGCTTCTTGCCGGGTACTTTGGCACTAGGAGCCCACAATGGACTGGATGCTGATCATATGAAGTTGGCTGAAGCCCTTATAGAAACCTGCTACCAGATGTACGCTCAAGTAGAGACAGGCCTGAGCCCGGAGATCGTACATTTCAACCTCCATGCGCAGAAGGGCCACAAAGATGTGGAAATCAAGGTGAGCAGATAGCTGGCCTGAACTCCAATTCCATGATTCCTCTGTAGCTCTATTCTGCTGTTGAACTCCTGGTCAGATATTGGTGATGGGGTCTGTTGTGGAGCAGTTAGTTCCTTTGCTGCCTTGCCTTCTAGCTGTACCCTAGGCTTTGGTTTTAATTACCCTGATAGTGTATTTAGAAGCTGAGTTATGCATAGCAAACTCTTAGAAGTAGATGGAGATGGGAATCATTATGTTTCTCCCTGCATGTGTCCTTGAGGAAATTCCCTGTCTGAAGTACTCTTGCCTTTTTTTTCTCTTGCAGCCCGCAGACAGGCACAACTTACTGCGACCAGAAACTGTGGAAAGCCTTTTTTATATGTACAGATTCACTGGTGATAAGAAATATCAAGACTGGGGCTGGGAAATCTTGCAGAACTTCAATAAATACACACGGGTAAGGCCAAGTGACCTTGTTCTGTCAGGACTTTATCTGCTCACTTGCTTTCTAACACCAACTTTGGAATCTTACTGTGTTTCAAGATTCATCAGAGACATTTGGGGAAATTTGTAAGAATATACAGAAAAATTTGGTTTCTTACAGTTTGAGATACACTACTTAGTCCATATAGGGAAAGAACTTGCATTGCATTGATTAAAAAGTGGAATGTAGAAGCTGTAGGCAAGACTGCCAGAGTGTCTCTACATCTTGGAAGCTGTTTGAATCTCTGCTGTGGTTGCTTTTAGAATTCAGAAGTTGAGAAGGACCTGGCTGGATTGAATGAATGCTCTGATTAAAGTTGCCAAAGAAAAAAATGGGCACAAAATGGCACTAATGGTTTGGTAGAGGGGTTTTGTATTCATTCTGACTACAGTGCTGGTTGAGATATCACTGATATGCTGTGAAAGTGTGGCCTAGATGCCAGTGGTCATCAAATGTCCATGGTCTGTTCTTAGAAGAAATGGGTATGGGGCTTGGGCCAGCTTTAACCTAGAAATCGCTAGTTCCTTTCTGTATGTTTGTCCAGAAACTTGAAGGGGATGTTCCTTGTGATACCTCTTTAACTTAAGTATAGATGCTTCATTTTATCTTTGTGGTTTCTTTTAAAATGCAATGAGTTGGTGTTTTTCATAACTGAAGCTTTGTAAGTAAAGGAAAACCAAGTACAAAATTAAAAACATGTTGATCTGTTTCCTAGCACTTATCTTCTCCAAGTGCATCTGGATGTTAGGAAGTAAAAAATAATTTATTTTAGATTATGTAAAGATACAAATTTCTGTTTTGTTTTGTTTTGTTTTGTTTTTTTGGCACAGGTTCCTACAGGTGGTTATACTTCCATTAACAATGTCCAGAATCCCAGTAATCCAGAGCCACGGGATAAGATGGAGAGCTTCTTCCTTGGAGAAACACTCAAATACATGTTTCTGCTGTTTTCAGATGACATAGACTTAATCAACCTTGACAAATACATCTTTAACACGGAGGCTCATCCACTCCCTATCTGGGTGCCAGCATAGACTCTGCAACACTGGACCTTTCAGTGGTAGCATTTTTATCTCCAAGTCACTTTACTTTTCAGGGTTTGAGGAGAGATGCTATATTGCACCTTTTTTGGCTTCAAACAACAAACAGAACCTTGGGGAAAGCATCTCTGGTTTGAAGAAATCATGTCAGTCTTAAATCTAATCCCTGGTTCTGGGATGAACAAACCGTGCCATATGAAGCTGGTTTCCCTAGTACTGATGACGAGGTTCAGAGAGTAATTGCAGTGGGGACCACAACATTCATGGGGCTCTGGTGACCCGGAACTCACTTATGGCAGTCTTACTAAATGCTCATTATATATTGGGAATGCAGCAAGTCAGCTTAGGGCACAGGGTTGTTCCTGGAGAGCAAGAATAAGCCTACAGTTTTTTGGTTTATTCTGGATTCACTGAAACACTGGATTACAGAGCCATTCCTTTGTCAGAATGTGACAGTGGTTCAGGTGGAAAGTGGAATAAACAAAAGAGCTGTAGTGCTGTCCCAGCCAGGTAGAAGCAAATCTGTCAGTATTGCTGCTGATACTCTGATCTCATTCCAAACTCACAAGCTGTGCTGCATCACCTTAGGAGAAGGAAGAAGCAGCAGAGCATTCATTGTATAGGGTCTTAGTTTTTGTAGAGCACTTTGAACAGTCTGTCCAAGCTGAGGCTGAAATGAATGGTGAAAGGGAATTTGCTGCTGGTTTGGCTCAAAGTGGTATATAATTTTTTAGAGGTATTGCAGTTTTTTAACTTATCTGCAGGAATGCAGGAGATAATGTGAAATACAAGTGAAACTACATGTGCATTTTATATATTATTTGCATCAGTTAGACTCAGGTATTCTGACTGAAAGCTGCTTTCTGAGGTTGGGTACTGGGAAAGCTTGTGAGCACATTAGTTATCAGCCTCCTTCCGTCCCTTCCTGTCCAGATATCACATCATGAGGTCTTTGTTGACTCAAGCTTACAACTGTACAGCACAGTTTATGTTATTCATAATTTCTTGGACAGGAGAAGTTTTCAATTTTTTTTTTCCTTAGTAATACATTGGTTAGAAGTATTTTCGATAGTAGTGTTAAAAGCAGACAGTCTGAAAGTATTACAGTAATTTCAGGTCCCAGTAGAATTAGAGAAATCCATTTCAGTTGCTTGAAGACAAAGCAGACCCAGGTTTTTTAAGAATCTTATTGGAGCCCTGGAATCTTTCATTTTTATATGTGCAATAGATTTTAAACCATGAATTTGGAAATGAGCTTTCTTTAGTGCTTGTCCTTTTGGATTTGTAGCTACTTGGACAGTCCTGTATTCACAGATAAGATCTCAGAAATGTGCTTGTTCATATTTCTGGAAGAGGTTTTTCTTGCTGAAATGCCCTTTCCCCTGTGGTAGTGGGTGTGATGGGCACAACCAGGTTTGTGGTGGCAGCAGGGAGGTCCAGTCCCCACTAACACCAGCACCACTGACAGAACTGATTGAGTCTGACTGGAATGGCTGAGGGGGGTATGTGTATTTTATAGTAATTAAAACCTTTGATTTGTAAAGTAAGATACGTCTTTGTTTTATGCTGATCCATTTTGTTTGCTGGAGTTACAGTTACCCTTGGGACCACTATTTAAGTCTTTTAGAGAATATTTATCATTCTATGTACTAATGATGGGTTATGGAAATGAAGAACTCTTACAGATTATTTAATGCACCTTTTGTGTCATCAAAAGTATCTTGGGAGTGGCAGGACAGAACAGGTCAGTGCAGAGTGCTAATGTTCCTCCCGCTCATTTGCCAGCAGTAACCCCTGCAATGAGCTTCTCACATACATGTGCAGTGGAATCCAGTCACTGTGGCCTTTGGCTGCACAACTGATTGGTTGCCAATACTTTTGTTTTCTTTGACACAACAGCAAATGAGGAAGGTGCTGTTGAAATGTGGGAGGTAACACTTTCAGTGTTTTTGTTTGTGGAGCAGGTTTGTGCTGCTAAGCAGCTGAGCTTTGGCTAAAAGCTAATCTTAAAATTGGAGATTAAAGAAAAAAAAGATAAATTCAGTGCAACTATCCAGGTCCTGGTGACTCGTGTTGCTTTGGCCTTGTGCCTTTGACTGAAGCTAGTACTGAACCCTTAATTATGACTGTGCTATGGATTGTGAAACTTCCGGGGTTTGGTGTTTCACCCATACAGCTGCCTGACTGAGGCAACAGAGACATTTCTTAGGAAATGGAATACATAGAAATGCTTACCAAAAATGTTCTGTTCTTGAAGTCTTACATTAGTGTTAATGTAATCGATTCTACAAATGGGACTGCGGGAGTCTGCATTATATTATTTTTGCCTTATGATTGGCTTGAGAGTAATAATTCATTTCCTAATGAGTTAAAGGAAGGGAGAGAAGAATAAATCATCAGTTTCCCAAACATATCTTATCTTTTAGCTGAGCCTGTTGGTCCAACTGATTTCTACCTAGTTCTTGTTGGGACATGGAATCTCTGCAAAATGTGGCTTTACTGTCCTCAGCCTTTAAACCTGAAGTTCATATTGTTCAGTTCTTGCTTCCCTTGAGAACAAATGCTTGTTTCACACCCCTGTATCACATGCGAAATGGCACAAACTAAAGAATCTGAACAAAGCTCACCTGTTCTTCCTGTTCTCTTGCAAAGGTAATTTTAATTGCTTATTTATTTTTACTTTCTTAACAAACTGTTGTGTCAGGTCAGTCTCTGAGCTCCACAGCCCATCTCTATTCCACGATGTGCTCCCCCAGCACAACAGAAAATCAAAAGTTTTCCCTTTGAGCACTCTGTGGTTCCTTGTTCCAAAGCCTGAACTTGCTGGTCCGTAACCCGCTCTGATGTTTCAGTGTACTGGGATGCTCCTGGCTTAAGTGGAATGTTGTAGAAAGGCCACCACTGAGCTGGGATTCTGTCCTTCTGCACAAAGAGCTGCAGTGGTTTCTCTCCAAGAGCTTGAGTGCCTGCCTAATTAAACTAAAACAACCCTTGGCCCCACTGCCTCTACTGTTCCCTTGGGCTTTCACTGAGGAACAGAGCCGGGCACTGGCAGAGCCACAGAGAGCTGCATGGCTGTAGGACTTGGGAGTCTCATACTTGGGGCTTTGAGCCACAGCTTAGGAAAAAAATACAGACCTGTTTGCTCGAAGAAAATTCAGCAGGTGGATGGGGCACAGTTAGCATCTAATCCCTGAACTTCTGAAAGCTGAATTCTCATTACAGGTCATAGAAACTGGCAGTTTTGCCAGGTCCCTGGTGTTGGCTGAGAGGCCCCCCTCGTGTTTCACAGGACTTTCCAGTAACAGGATTTTCGCATTCCAAGGTTTCGCATTTTGCCAAGTTAAGGTACACCTGTATTTACTCCTCCAAATACTAGACAAAGAGTACACCTTGTTTCCAGTTCCATACCAGTGTGAGGTTGGCAGTGATGAGGGATGAGAACAGGAAAGGTTTTTGCAGTAACACATTTACAGTTTTGTGAATTTCTCCTGCACTTTAGGACTTCCCTTCAGCTGTGCGCTCCTAGAAATAGCCCTGCAGGGAAGTCAGCTCCTAAATTCCAGTGCCACACTCAGTATATTTAACAAGACCAGTAAAACGGACAGGACAGGGTAGCTTCATGAAGCTTGTTGCTTCGACAGAAAGTTTAAGATTTTTCTGACTTTGGATTTGGTAAGAAGGGCTTAGGGTTTTTTCGTCTCTGTAATATTGCTGGAGATTGCTGTCCAAGTCTGGAGGCTTCCACTGAAATCTGAGTTCCTGTTCTGTGTAATGTTCCCACGTTGCTCCCGCTCGCCACATTGGTATGTGACGATGGAACAAACGAGCCTTTGTTCAACAACCCCACTGGGTTGTTGAGCATAGGGGAGGGGCTGCAGCCATGATCTGGTCTGGGTCACTCCTGCTGGCACCCCATTTTCCTTTTGTGGCCCGGAAGTTGAGCCAGGAGCAGTGTTCCCATGATGCTCATGAGCAGTGACTGCTGCTATGTGGCTGTGGTTCTTCCCTTCAGCTCAGACAGCACCACACAACCAGGGTTTTCCACTTACATCCCACGCTTGCTTGCCCAGGGCTTCAACGCATTATGGATGTTGGTGGCACTGGCTTCAGACTTCTGCCATGGTTTCTTTTTTAGCACTGCTCATCTGTACTGAAAGTCCATATGTATCATGTTTATCTCTTTGCCATGGTGTCTGAAAGCCTTTTATTCATCCATCCATATCAATCAGTGGGTGTTCCTCACGCTAAGTGGATTCCTTTGGGGCAAGAACTATCTGTAAGAGGAAAATAGGAGCTCAGTGTAGTCCACTATAAGGGGATTAAAGAACTCCTGCCCTTCTGGAAGGTCAGCAGACACCTGGGCCTCCTTTCCCTCCAAAGCCCAAACCCAACCCTGACTGCAGGGGTGACTTGCAGCGATTTCCCAAAAAGACTCTCCCTGAGCCTGGCTGTGTTCATGCACTGCTGGGCTGGTGTCACTGGGTGCCTGCTTGTGGGACTTAAGGGTACTGTTAGAAAGGGAATACAAGCAAGATGCAATCCTTGCTCTCTGCTTTTTTTTTTTTATTGTGGTGCTAATCCTGAATAATGCCTGGATACAGCAAATCTGAATTCCATAACATTGAGGGCTCTGAGCATGGAGGATGAACATGAGTCCAGCACCTCAGTAAGGCTGGGTGTGGCAGCCTTGTATAAGCCACAGCTGGAGCAACAAACACAAAGCCCAACTTGAGCAGGAGCAGAAGGGATGGTGGCAGCTCTGAGCAGGGCCAGTGGAGGCTTTCATCTGCATGAACAGAGGATTTGGGTCTTTCTGAAGATGTAGTGCCACTGGCAGGCTTACAGCAGCTTTCTTGGGGACTGGAGTTGACTAATCGGGTCTTCCGTGTTTTCCTTCATTTACACATATCTGAAGCAGTTGACAAAGGAATGGATCCATCTGTTCCTGCTCTCTCCTGCATTTCTGGGGTGGGGCACAAGCTTCGGCCTTTTGTTCTTAAGAACAGGGCAGAGGTATGTGAGTCCTGTGTCAGCACCTGAACATTGTGAAATACCAGCAGTGGCTCTGGGAAACAGCTCTCCTGTGACCAGGGAGGGCCCATCAGTGCAAACACTGACACAAAGCCTGTGGCACTGCTGTGACTGTACTGCACAAGCAATGGAAACCTGTGGGGACACAGGAGGCCTCTCCACTAAAGTAATAAAATCACTGCAAAAATATTAAACCCTAGTAATCAACTGGCTGCCTCAGTTGATCCGTTTACAATTATGCTAGTAATTATTGGTGCATAGTCATTCCAGTAGGCAAGAATCCATGTTTCTGTGGATGAGTTACTGCATTATTCCACCTGGGAAGGTGAGAAGGAACCCTTTTTTTCTTCGGTTATACATTCGTTTATATATTCCAAGCCATGGAATTATATCACACACTTTAATAAACTTTGATATCACACACTTTAATAAACTTGTAATTTGTTTTAAAAAGCTCTGAAAATGTCTCAGTGGAATTCTGCTTTACTGGTCACCAATACACAGCCCTTGAGTGGCAGCATTGCACACCAGGATTAGTTTGTGTAAGTCTTCATCTCAGCAACTGGAATCTCCTGGGCAAGTTAAAACCAAAATACCCCAAACCCATAGCCCTGGCTGAGGCTGACAGTCTGTTTTAGATAACTGGTCACCAGTGGAGCCCCCTGTGCCAGTCATGACCATACCTCTGCTTTTCCACTAGCCTTCTAATACTTTTTCTCTAAAAATAATTTAGCTTCAAGCTTGAGGTGCCTCATGCAACCATCTTGTTTAGAGCTGCGATAGTGCTTGGGCCTTCCAGGCAAGCTTTTCTTATTCCTACCTGTTGAAACAGCTCATTTCAAGCAGGCAAGCATGGACTCCAAACAGTGTGGTTTTGGCTGCAAGTCAGTGATTTGGCCTTTTGCTTTTCTTTTGATGCTCAATGAGGTGCAGGTGGGACACTTTGGAAAGGGGAATTTCCACCATCATGGCAGAGGAGAGAACAGTGTCCCACCCAGCCTGGACCCAGCTCAGCAGGCTGCTGTGTCCTGGGGCAGCTGCACCACCCGAGGGACTGTGGGGATGGAGGGGCTCAGAACCTGCACTGCCTGGGAGCTGTGGGGATGGAGGGCTCACAGCTGGCTGCCCGCTGCAGCTCTCACGTGCTGCTTCCATGCCCACTCCTTGCCCGCGGATTTCACCCAGCCATCGATGATCTTGGCTTCCAGCCTGCGCACTTCCGTGACTGACGGCGGGTCAGCTGGGTTGCGTCCCCTAGGGAGAGCAAAGCAGCATCAGTCACTGGGCAGTAGCTCTTTGCCTCCTGTGCAGACAGAGCCTGGAAACTGAAGGACAGTTACTGACTGGTTTGTGTTTCACATTTAGGCAGCAGCCTGAATGTGGGCAGGAGCCCTGAGCTTGCCCTCGCATCACTGGCTGCTTCCCCCTCTGCTCCAGGCCCGAAGGCTGATGGCTAATGCCAGGAGGCACCAGATGACTTCACATGACTGATTGCTGCAGGGTGTCACACACTTGTGCCAATCCCTGTGCAAGAACCTGATCTAGTGACAGTAGGTGAGCTGAGTACCAAGTTCTGCACAGCCCAGCATCCCTGGAGGGTTGGAAGAGCTCTGTGCTGGGGAAGACTGCTCTTCCACATTGGGCTGCCAACAGCCTGATATCCAGTCCTCTGTAAGTACTTCCCCAGTGCTGGGCACTGGTGAGGCTACACTTCGAATCCTGAGGTCCCTGAGTTTTGGGCCCCTCATAACAAGAAAGACATTGAGGAGCTGGAGTGTTTCCAGAGAAGGCCAATGGAGCTGGGGAAGCGTCTGAAGCACAAGTCTGATGAGACGCAGCTGAGGGAGCTGGGGGGCTCAGCCTGGAAAAAGGAGGCTCAAGGGGGACCTTCTCACTCTCTGCAACTCCCTGACAGGAGGGCGGAGCCGGGGAGGGGGGTGGTCAGGCTCTTCTCCCAGGGATCAAGTGACAGGGCAAGAGGAAACGGCCTCAAGTTGAAACAAGAGATCTTTAGATTGGATATTAGTGAAATTTTTTTCATAGAAAAGGTTGTAAGGCATTGGAACAGGCTGCCCAGGGATGTGTTAAGTCACCATCCCTGGAAGTGTTCAAAAAAACTTGGATGTGGCAGTTGACGACATGGTTTAGTAGAGAATGTGGTGGTGGTGTTGGGTTGATAGTTGGACTTGATGATCTTAGAGGTCTTTTCCAACCTCAACAACTCTTATGATTTTGTGGTTCCAAAGTATCTCCTCGTTCTTTGGGCTGTGGCTTGCTGAGATCAAACAGCCAAGGCATCAGAATTCTGTCAGCCAAAGGAGAATTTGGTACTTACCGGAGATCAAGGTGATGGGCACCTCCTTTAACGGTCAGTGCAATCAGTGAAGGGCTGAGGCTACTGTTTATCTGGAAGGAGAAAGAGCAGAGGCCAGCTCTCACCAAGTTACTGGGAAGAACTGGACATCAGTTCTGAAAAATGGAACATGATCTGGGCAAGACTAAGGAAAAGCATGGCTGGTATCGTGCACACAGCTAACAGTCCTAATGAGCCAGATCACCTGTCCCAAATGAAGGGAAGGCTTCCCCCAAAGTGGGAACTGTCAGCTGATTCCAGCCCTGGCAGTTGGAAATAAGTCTCCTTTGGGCCCACACACCCTAAGCAGCCTGTTGTTCTTGCAGCTGGGATTCCAAGCCAGCCTAGAACAAGGAACTTCTGCATTAAATCAGGAGCTCAACTAGCTCTAAATCCAGTTCTGGGTCATTTTTGGTTTTAAATTTTAAACTTGAGCCCTGCCAGCACTCTGAAGTTTTGCTGAATCTAAGCCAAAACATGCCTGGTTTGAGTCACTGCTCACAGCACCTGGCTTGGTCTCACCAAGTGTGCTGGGACTGCAGAGAGCCAGGAGCACCTGGCCGGCAGCACTGAGACCACGTGTGGACACAGAAACACACCGGGTTGTGGTTCAGACCCTGGGTGTGGGGTTAAGAAGGTCCTGCTATGTCTGCACTACTGAACCCACGTTTGTTCCATCAGTGTTCCTGGCTGATGGACACTACTCTGTGCCCATTGTTAGAGTCCTGAGGCTCCTCAGTGGCTCAGCATAATGCAGCTGCTCACAGAAACTCAAATGGGCTAAAACTGGATCGCCAGCGTTGCTCTGAAAGGAAGAGGGGGTAGTGTGTTACCTGCAAAGGCTGCTCTGTGCTCAGGGTGCAGGAGTGCACATGCTTACCCCACCTCCAGCCCACGGGTCCAAGTCTCCATTTGAAAAAATGATGTTGCTTGCACTTCTCAGGTCTGAAATCCAGAGAGAGAATAATTGAGAGGTCTTCCTGTGCAGTTATCCAAATGTATTTGGCTACTGCAGCAAACATGGCCAAGAACAGAAAACACTGGAGAACAGAACAAATTCTTGGCAGTTTTTACGTTTTCCACTTCTGTCCTAAGGGAATACAGAAACCTCTGTTTGGCTCAAGTCAGCACAAGGCTGTGACCTTCTGCCAGGACCCATTAGTGCGCTGCGCCTGTCCTCATGGGGCTTAGCTGGGCAGAGGGCGACAGGCAGACAGCTACAGGGAAACACAAAGGAATGAGCAGTCAGCACAATTCACCTCCTCCCCAAAAGTTAGTCTGCAACCAGTGTGTTCGTGGCCTCACGTGCCACTTGTTCCAACAGTACTGCTCCCGCATGGCCTCTGTGAAGGGCATCTCGGGGAACATGTCTGTCACATTGTTGCTGTTGAAAGTTAAGTTGATCTCGGTGCAAACCTAAGAGAAGCACAAAAGCTGTCATGGGGTGGGGGGAAAACCAGGACAGCAGCTGAAAGTTGTTGGTGTCTCTAACCCCTTACCTGGTAGTCCCAAGCCTCCGCATCCAAGCCGATGCCACAGCCCGTGGGGTCAGCACAGGACCGGTACAGCTGGTATATGTCATAACACGGTGCCAAGCCGGAAGAGTTGTAAAACACCCCTGCCAGGTGGGAACATAGCACAAAACCTGTTGTAAAACACCCCTGCCAGGTAGGGACATAGCACAAAAGCCCAACTGCCCAACACACGAACCTCACGGCCAAGACCAAGTGAAGGCCTGGCTGCAGGATGCGCTTTGTTTCTGTCATATTCACAGAGAGGAAGGGACTCCCGGGTGCTCTCTTCTGTCTCTCCTTTTGCCAAAAGCCAGCGAGTGGCTCACTAGTCCTTGGAACAGCCCAAACCCCAGGAGCAGGCTGTGCAGAGGATGCTGGTTGAATGCTTCAAATTGAACAGGACGCAACCACTGAGACCTTCCCAACCTTGCCCTGAAAGGAGCTGTGCCTGAACTGCTCAAATTTAGTCAGAGGGCCAAGGGTGGCACATCACAGAGGGGATTTTGCTTGACTGTTGTTCACAAAGAGAAACATGGTATGTGCAGGCTTGCCCAGATGAAAGAATAGCTGAGCAGGTGGCCAGGGAAGCGTAGCCAGGAGCTGCTTTCTGTGTGGATGGGCAGTTACCAGATAGGAGGAGGAGGACTGCAGCTAAGCTGGTGGCCATCTGCTGCTGCCAGTGTAACAGCAAACCTCACAAACACTGTGGATTTGTGCGCTAATCAGCACCACCAGCTCCACTTGCAAACAGCCCCAGGCAGCTCTGCATGGCATCCAGTGGTTTGTGCTGCAAGGCCCCAGGCATGGGCTGCTGAGGAGGAAACTGCTGCAGCTGCTGCTTTCTAGGTGGATATGCAGGCCGGGCAGCACAGCCTCAGCCCCCTCGCAGCATGGAACCGCTGATTCAAGCGCAGAAGGCTGCCTAGGAGATGCTCTGAGGGGCTGCTCCAGGGCTATGTGCCACCCAGAGTGATGCTGCTTGGTTCACAGGCCAGCACGGCAAGGCTCATGTCCGACACCTACGTGCCAAAACTCCTGGAAGGGCTCAGCAGCCTTCGCTCACAGAGCGCGCTGTGTGATGTGACTCTGGAGGCAGAAGGGGTTTGCTTTCCAGCCCACAAGATAATTTTTGCTTCAGCAAGCAATTACTGCAAGATCCTGTCTGTTGGAAAGTCAGTGGGAGCAGGGAGCTCAGACAGTAACATCCAGCTGAAGGCTGTCAGTGTTGCTGGGCTGAGGAATGTTCTCAACTTCATCTATTCCAACAAGCTCAACCTCTCACTACAGAATATTGAGGAGACCTTCAAAGCTGCAGAAACCCTTCTGGTGTGGGAGGTGATCAAGCTATGCTTTCGCTTTCTGGGGGGTGCTTGAACTGCAAGAACTGCCTGGATGTTCTAAATATCCCCAAGAAACTTGGACCAGATGAGCTGAGACAGAAAGCCATGTGCTACCTGGGGCAGCATTACAGATACTGGCTGATCCTCAGTGCTGGAAAGACCTGGACCAAGGAAACCTTTGTGAAATTTTGGACAGGACCAACACCAAGGGATGCACTGAGCTGGAACTGTTCAGAGCTGCAGTGA